CTTGCGTCAGAACGGTCAGAGATCGAAACGAAGTGCTGGGGAACGAAATAATTTCTACTTAACGTTCTTGTAGAAATGGCACATGGAGTGGTTTGTTTGTCTGAGTCAAGTAGGGGTCTTAGGTTTGGTGACGTCATTTGTGGGCAACGCTATTCTGTAGGGATGTCTAATTCAATCGGGTGGCATGTCGCGGGTGTGGTATCCAAACAAGCAAATTTAATATCCACAAAATTACAAGACAACCTAAGACATATAACCTATAAACACAAGCCCCCTATTCGGTGCACGCCTCGCCTTAATTGTAGCATACATAACTACATTGTCACAACTATTTGACAAGTACATGACACTTTCACAGGTATGCTACGCCATGACAGCTATGCTACAGCGGGAGCCACGAGTTACGGGTGAAAACTGCCGTCGCACGAGGAATTGTCGCATTTAATTTAAGACAGTGTCACGCGCAGCCAGAAAGGAGATTGTGGCTAGGAACTTTAGATTACCACCGTTTGCGCGTCTTAATCTTCACGAGAAGTATTTTCTTTCGGAGCAAAGCCATTAAGGAACATAACCTGTAATAAACATGACCTCTTTAGGGGATTGGGCTAACGGGGTGTATTGGGCGCTTTTCACCATTAAATGGAATCAAAAACAGATACTGCATCTTTATAATGAAATTTGTAATAATAATAATTATTGTTATTATTATCATTATTGTATACTGGATCTTTATAATGAAATTTTTTAATAACAATAATTATTGTTATTATTATCATTATTGTTATTATTATTATCATCATTACTATGTGAAGTCATCCCTTGGTTACCAAAAATAATGACCATTAGTTGTTCTGCACGTCACTGACCCTTCATGTCTTTTTCGATCAAAAATTGGTATTTGAGAGGCGTGGAAAATAAATTCACGAGGCGTGATGACGTGTATTTTGGGATAATACTCTACCATTTTGTCCACCACTCATTTGTCATTTCGATGATTCAATTTACTCTAAACCAGTTACCAGATCATTATCGGCCAAATTCCAGTGAGTGTTATCAGAACTGAAATTTTTTTTAAGAGAAACTATAAGTTCAGAGCCACTCAAACAACGTTTTTGGAGGATAATAGTTAATATATCATCAATCCCTAGTAACTTGACACCTTCCAAAAATCATGTAAAATAATAATAATAGAAAAAAAACCAAAGAATAAAACGTTTTAAGATAAAAACAGCGATAAAAAACTATTTTACATCAAATTACTTTCGCCCAACGACTCCATATCACCATTTTCTACCACTACGAACTTTAAAAATCAGTCGTCGAAACGTCACTCAAAAAAAATTCAAAAGAACAGAATAAAAAAACTATTCCAAGTTTGATTCAAATTTCGCAAAAAATATATTCTACACATAAAAGCGTTCTATTTTCTTTGTCCATATCCTATCAAAGCACTCTTTACTGTTGTGCCAAGCTGTTAACTGATTTTTCACATAAAAGAACTGCTCATCACACCACATCTCGCTCGAAGCCTGGACCCTAGTTTCCCACCTTTTGCGCCTATTGTTTCCCTGCTCAGCGATCTGATCCTCTTTCTTTAATGCAACCTGGCCTTGTATTGTAACCTTAGCAGTGGTTGAGTCGCCTTCTTTGATCGTAAATATTTCTTTTCTGATGCTATCATAGATGCGGTTCGTGTCTTTAGATGAAAACATCCAAAGTCAGTGGTAAATGACAGTTTGTATTCATTTGACAGCTAACATGTCTCCAGCGTCCTACATAAAAAGGGAACATCTTTCATGGGCACAATACTATTTTCATGACAACATAATGTAAGAGTCGAAGATCAGATTATAGGAAGGAGAAGTTCCACCGTACAGGGAAACTACTCCACAGGGAAACTATTCCACAGGGAAACTACTCCACAGGGAAACTACTCCACGGGGAAACTACTCCACAGGGAATATATTCGGAAGATAAATAATACAACCCTTTTGTTACACAGTTGAATTAAATCCTTTTCTTTATCAATTGAAAGCTCCAGAGTATCTGTTTCCCAACGAATTCTAATGACCATATCATAAATAAGAATGGCATGATGGACCGGCAAACGAATATTGAACAAAGTAAACTGGAGAAAACAAAACAATGTGAGATTGTGAATCGAACGAACATATCAGCCAATCAACCAGTTACCAGCGAACAGAGGAAGGAACCAAAATCTAATGTTTAGTTTCGGTGAGTGACAATCACTTCCATGGACCACAACAAATGTCTAGCTGCGACAGTCCACACCTCTTTCAGTTTACCTTGTTTTCTTTGGTCTTCTCCTCAAAAAGTAAAAAGGACCAAAATAATTTTACAAATTAGATTCAACTTAAAATAGTTAAAGGGTTTTTTCAATTCGAACCATATAATCCTGAACCATTACTTTACCTTGTTGGAGAAGTATCAGTTATGTATATATTATTCAACATATAAGCTGAGTATAGAGTAGAAGTTACGTCTTAGTCGAGATATGTTTTTTTCAATGTGGCAGTTAGGTAACAACTGAGCATGACCGCGTTTATGTAATGTTTAGAGACATGTTACAATTAGACAGTGCTACTGATTCAAGTTCAGGTTTCTTTCACTGCACTGAGATATTTACTTCACCTTTCAGTAAGAATAAGAATTAAGAATTATACAAATTAGATTCAACTTAAAATAGTTAAAGGGTCTTTTCAATTCGAACCATATAATCCTGAACCAATACTTTTCCTTGTGTTGGAGAACTATCAGTTATGTATATAATATTCAACATATAAGCTGAGTATAGAGTAGATGTTACGTCTAAGTCGAGATATGTTTTTCCTACTGTGGCAGTTAAGTAACAACTAAGCATGACCGCGTTTATTTAATTTTTAGAGCTAAACTTAAAATTAGACAAGTTCAGGTTTCTTTCACTGCACTGAGATGTCTTCTTCACCTTTCAGTAAGAATAAGAATGAAGTCCTTTCTTAAATGGTTTGGTTCGATGTCCAACTCTAACAGACCTGAGAGGAATGGAAAAAAATAGAACCAAGCTCTTCGTTAGTCCAGGTGAGCTCTTTGATTTGGCTCTCGCTTAAATATATACCAGCGACTTGAGATAGACTTCTTACTTTGACCCTTTCAAAGGTGAACTGTTCTGAAAACGCTTCGTTTCTGATGATTGATCTGGAAATCATAAAAACTCTCAGCCGGATGAGCCTGACATAAGGGGATTTTGGCTGCAATGGTGGCTCATGTAAAGGTATTTGTAATTAATTAATACCAACTAATACGAATATGGCCTCCACTTTCTCCTCAATGTTATTGTGGAATGCTGCAGTGTTGGGAAAAGTTTGGGGATTGGTTTTCCTCCAATGGACATTTTTCTAGTCTTGATTTATTTATGCAAATATCTTTGATTGGATTTTAATATTACATAATCCGTAAAAACTTTCAGCCGGATGAGCCTGACATAAGGATATTTTGGCTGAAATAGTGGCTCATGTAACGATACTGATTTGCAATTAATACCGATTAATACGAATACGGCCTCCACTTTGTCCTCAATGTTATTGTGGAATGTTGCAGTGTCGGGAAAAGTTTCGGGATTCTTTTTCTTCCGATGGGCTTTGATGTGTTATATGCTAGTCTTTTTCTGGTCTGGATTCATCTATACGAAAGACCTTTAATTCGATTTTGATACTACATAATCCCCTAACACGATTTCGAAAAAAATTGAAGAGACAAATTTATTAGCACGGATAGGACTACAATATGCCACACGTTCCGCACATAAATAACATTCTTCACAGATGATCACCTATTTTGGGCGTGTTAACCTTTCCAATGATTTAAGACCAGATCTTTGACACTTCAAACAAAAAAATTAAAAGACTAGAGAGCGTTGTTTATTGGGAAAAAGACACAATTTTCTAATACTGCTTTGATTACAAAAAGGGCAATTCATTTAAATGAAGATTTATGTAAAATAAAAGCTTAGCTCTTTTCTCATATTAAGGCCTGGCTTGACGACGGCACCTTTTTTAAGTGTTAACCATAAACCTTAATTTTAAGGTATCCCAGGCCTTTTGGGTATCAGAAATGATCACTTTCCCACGACGAAAGGGTCACATGCAGCCCCCCCCCTCCCCCCCACTTCACCCTACGACTGGGCAACACCATTACTACGATTATACGTTAGTTACATTAACCTTTAACTCCCAAGATCTTATTGGTGATTCTCCTTACTGACTGCCATATAATTCTTGCAATCTTCTAAATGATATTTTTCTTGGTTCTCATCGCTTGTCTGCTTGATATTGTATCAATAGTTTAAGGAGAAATTAAGTCTTGGTCAGCCATGGGAGTTAAAGGGTTACTGTGCTGTAGATTAAATTAACTCCGATGACACAAACTGAATAATCATATCAATGCCACGCATAAACTAAATAAGCGTAAAAATTCCCCAGGATGAAATATTTCCTCCTCACAAATCACTTAACACGTTTACCCTAACAGAACATATATTACTACAAATTCCCCTGTAGATAAACAATAACATTTATTGTCCTGAAGCGACTGTCTGAATAGCAAATTACTAAAAGTGAAGTCAACTAGATGAAAAAAAATTCAAATTTCAAAGTGGTTTCCGCAACTTCCTAACATAGCCTATTGGTACGATAGAAAGTAATATTAAAAGAGTCCTGTGATTACTATGCTCCTTCTTCTAAGTTCTGAACTTAATGGCGCCATATTTTCACAGACCTACATTGAACCTATATGTTGTTATAAGGACAGCAACCAGGGAGACATGATGGACAGTTAGAGTCTGGTTCTCCTAAGTGAGCTTTTTCAAATCCAAGGGGATCTTTACCCGGCAGTGTCAAAATCCAATTTTCAAATGTTGCGTTAGTATAACAGTTGGTCAAGAGAATATATTCTCTTAGGTCGGTTCCCTCCTTATCACCAATTTTTCAAGTTTTGTTCTCAGTTTAGATGCTATTTCCTGATATTGGGTCGTGACAGTTTAATCGACTCATAAACATGACAAAATACACTGTCATGAGAAGAGCATGGGACGATAAAATGTGCCAGACGTCATGGGCGTCAAAAAAATTAAGAAATATGCACTCTTGGTTATAATCTCTTGATCTTTCAGGAGTAAGCGATTTATCTGTTGTTGCGTATCCGAGAAAAGACAAAGCAGCGAAAAACCACAAAATAATCATGAACAAGATATAAAGACCTTGAATAACAACTTTGCACTTACTGACTGCCCATTTTGCCCATTTGATTTCTTTCCAGTTGCAACAAACATAGCCTATAATAGCAAGAATGTCTTCTGCAATACAGGTAAACAAGAAAGTTTCAGGAATATTGCTTGAAAAAACCCAATATAAAATGACTGGTAAAACAAAGCCAAAACCAAACAAAAGACACTTAACTGTTTCTTCTTTTAAGTACCTACATAAATGACTGCGTAACCCATTGCTAGGTATAGGAATAAAATCTGGGAACACTTTCCAACCCGTCCAGCAGGTAATGAGAATCCACCAAATTGCAGCAAAAGTAAAAAAAGCCGGAGCGTTAACCAACGCAGTTTCTGAATGACTCAGTGTGCCTAAGTAGTTAAACATGTACAGTGGTACTAGGAAGTAAAGGAAGAAATTGGCTACGCCAACTAATTCCTTTTTTCTCTCGATCCCATTGTACAACAAAACAATGATCAATCCTGCAATGACGAACATAAACCCTGTATCAAACTGAAACGTCAGCTTGCTTGGACAGAGATGATAAACAAGGGAAAAACAACCCTCAAAAAATAAAGCCCAGGCAAAAGCATAACCCATGGAAAACGCATACTGTGGTGGGAGATCATTACTATTTCTATAACGAGAAAATAGTTTTGCCTCCATATACATCACAGAGATAGCTAGAATTAGGCCATGAATCATATATGTTAAGTTACTAATCATTAAATTGAATGGAATATCATCATACTTGCTGACCCTGTAACAAAAGTCATTGTAATAACAAGTGTCTCTGTCTCCTTCTTGTATCATCAGATGCCAGTCGGCGAAAACAAACTGGCCTGCAACAATCACGAACACAAAGCCAACAATACCAGCTATGTATGAGTATGTTTTGGGACCACGTTTGAACCAGTTCGACACAACTTCTGAGACTTCTTCCATTACCCCTCTTTGCGAGGTCTGAGTTGAAGGTGTCGTTGCTTGAGGTACTGCATCAGGTTCTGCGCTCGACACAGCTTCTGAGACTTCTTCTATTACCGTTCTTTTCGAGGTCGAAATTAAAGGTGTTTTTTCATCAGGTTGTATGGGTGTCGTTGCTTGTACTGGGCTCATTTCCATTGAGTTCGATCTATCATTCGCTCTTCCGTTTCCTTCAGTACTACTCGGCGAAGAATGATGAGTTCCATTGGAATCTATCAGAAAGCAGAGAATACCGCAGCACGCCACCGCGGCACCTAGGACTACTGACAACACGACCAAAAGAGATATAGGCCAAAAGTAGGAATAATCAAATGATCTTTTCAAAGTCAATGTCACAGTCTTAGTCGCCTTATATCGCGTCCCACGTTTCGCATACTTGATTGCAATTCCAATAAACCAGCTTGAGGTAGAATCAGTCAATGGTGGAATAGAAACTCTTGACAAAGTAATCCGTCCCTTTTTGGCAAAAGATAAGCGAATCGACTTTCCCTTATAGTCAACAACGTCAATGTTCTCATTAACATCCTTACAGTCACGTGATACTTTTAGGTAAGTTGGTAAGTCAGATTCAGAAGTGACAGTGACGTCAAGCTGCATATCTGAGATGTCTTTTGTTGGGATGAACTGAAATACTTTGATTGATTCATATTGACCTAAATCGAAAGTCAGTGGTTTATTGAGCACTATTTCCTCAACAGAACTGTCTACCTGCACTTTAAAAGCAAGGTTTGGTGTTCCTGAGAGTAACAGATGTTTTTCTTGATCTTTGTTATTGCGGTCACGCGGCGGACATATGATGAGAGAACTCCAATCACCTTTTGATTTCCAAACATCCAAGTTGCCCAGTAAGTGGGGTTCATCTGCTCCATATACTGATGCATGCAAAAATCCTGATGGAGGGAATATAAATCCTCAATTTCTGTTACGTGAAGGTTTAAACCTTGGTTGATTCACTGTCAAATGTACCAGTAATTGTTAAGAATTTTTTCAAATTCTAATGTCCATCGAAGATGGACATTTGGCAAAATTGCCTCAAGTCAAGAATTTTTATGTTTGTGATTTAACTAACATCAGCTTATTCAGTTTGAGCTACGTCTCAATGGGGTTAACCAATCAGCCGTGAAAAAGTTAAACGGTTTGTTGAGTGTAGAAACGTTTCTTTTACCTGAAACGGAATGAAATTAAATAATAGCTGTTCAATGGCCAAAAGCCATCACCCCCTCGAGACCCTATTGTTTACGTTTGGTTTGGGAAATTGATAGCCCAGCTCGTGGCACCTTTAAAAGAAGTGAAACAGCAACAGGCCATTTTACAGTTGTTTACTTAGTTAAAAGCCTTTGATTTAGAGTGAGGCTGAAGTTGACCTTATTGTAATAGAGACCAGTATCTTGTTAGCATGATTACAAAGTAATTAACATTTGAAAACAACAAGGTTTCTATCATAACGAGGTCATCCTTAGCTTCACCTCTGTTGACAGGCTTGGCAACCAACCAAGCAACTGTAAAATTGTAAGAGATAGTTGTGTGAGAGATTACTCAGCGTTAATTGATTTCCGGTTGATTTTTTTCGTATATTCTTTGGTCGGAGTTGATACGATTGCAGAATACGAGTAATGTTTAAGTACCATGTCAAAACCTAAATATACATCAATGTTATCATTTTATGCTAATTCAATACGAACTTTTACTGTCCCTATACGAACTAAGAGTCGCCAAGTTCGCAGTCAAAACAGAGCGTCGCCATGCGTAATGGCATTTTACTCAAGTAAACATTCTCTCGTTCAGACGTTTAAAATGTCTAAAATACCACTTTCAAAATAATCAGAAACGTTCTAAAAGCCGGCCAGCTGTAGCTGATTTTCATGAGAGAAACGTACAAAGAAAGCACACAAATCTGTCTTTGTCTGTCTTTGGTCAGCCTTGGCATCGAAAGTAGGCGTGCATTCTTTCGATCGCGTGAGATGGCCTCCACGTAAACCCCTTGTACATTTTTCACATTTTCGCTTGAAACGACAAGTTTTGAAGAATCCATGTGCTTAGATGATAAACTTACTTCATCAAATATGTATATTATTACAATACATCATAACTCGCGATTATTAAGTGAAACTAATGTCAAAAATCTACTTGCAGTCGGCCTATTTTCGTCGCGAAAAAAAATGCGTTGCTTGAAACGAAGACAATTTACCCAAAATGTCAAAAGAAAGAAGATACACGCGCTTACCATGCGATTCGCTGTTCACAATTTTGGCTTTCACCTGCAAGAAGCGTTTTTGATGGCTTGGTCCACTTGTCTTCACGACACATAAGTTGCTCACATATTTGGAAGCTGCAAGTCTGCCTGTAACCATAGCAGGCATTGTAAGGTTACTTGCCAAGTCTGGCTTTCCGAAAAAGCATTCGACAGTAAACTGGTTTGCTTGTGTTACGAAGGCCCAGAGGTAGACAGGGAACAGCAAGAGTATTGGAAGAAGTGTAACAGTAACGGCCATGTTTAGACTTTAGACAATTCCCTTTTCATCTTCAATTTGGGGTGCCCACTCTGTGTAATTCAATAGGGATGTCTAATCCAATCGGATTGCATATCGTGGGTGCCGCGTGTTACGCGTGAAAACTGCCGTTGCTCGAGGAAATGTCGCATGTATTTTAGGACCAGGTAACGCGCAACCAGATGGGAGATTGTGGCTATGAACTTTAAATTATCACCGTTTGTGTATCGTTATATTCATAAGAACTATTATTTTTCTTTGGAAAGCCATTAGGGAACGTAATCTGTACTAAACATGGCCCCCATCGGGAATTGGGCTTAGGTGAGGGGGTGCATTGGGTGCTTTTTACTATTAAATAGAATCAAAAACAAATACTGCATCTTTATAATGACATTTGTAATAATAATTATTGTTATTATCATCATTGTTATTTTTATTATCATCATTACTATGTGAAGTCATCCCTTAGTTACCAAAAATAATGACCTTTAGTTGCTCCGCACATCACTGACCTTTCATGTCTTTTGCGATCAAAAACTGGTATTTGAGAGGCGTGGGAAAACAAATTCACGTGGCGTGTTGACGCGTACTTTGGGATAATACTCTGCCATTTGTCCCACCACTCATTTGTCATTTCAATAACTCAATTTACTCTGAACCACTTATCAGATCATTATTGGCCAAACTCCAGTGAGTGTCAGCCTGAGTGAACGTTACCAGGACTTAATTTAAAAAAAACAAAACAAAACAAAACAATATGTTCAGAGCCACTCAAACATTGTTTTTGGAGGATAGCAATTATTATATCGTTAATCCCTGGAACCTTAAAATCCGTACTTTACCTTGTGATAAAGTTTTGTTTACAATCCACATGCATTTTGGAGAATAATCAGTTATGTATATATTATTCAACATATAAGCTGAGTATAGAGTAGATGTTACGTCTTAGTCGAGATATGTTTTTCCCAATGTGGCAGTTAGGTAACAACTAAGCATGACCGCGTTTAGGTAATTTTTAGAGCTAAACTTAAAATTAGACAGTGCTACTGATTCAAGTTCAGGTTTCTTTCATTGCACTGAGATATCTTCCTCACCTTTCAGTAAGAATAAGAATGAAGTCCTTTCTTAAATGGTTTGGTTCCACGTCCAACTCTAAACAGACCCGAGAGGAATCGAAAAAAATAGAACCAAGCCCTTTGTTAATCCAGGTGAACTCTCTGATTGGGCTCTCGCTTGAACACCAGCGACTTGAAAGAGACTCCTTACTTTGACCCTTTCAAAGGCGAACTGTTCTGAAAACGCTTCGTTTCTGATGATTGATCTGGAAATCATAAAAACTCTCAGCCGGATGAGCCTGACATAAGGGGATTTTGGCTGCAATGGTGGCTCATGTAAAGGTATTTGTAATTAATTAATACCAACTAATACGAATACGGCCTCCACTTTCTCCTCAGTGTTATTGTGGAATGCTGCAGTGTTGGGAAAAGTTTGGGGATTGGTTTTCCTCCAATGGACATTTTTCTAGTCTTGATTTATTTATGCAAATATCTTTGATTGGATTTTAATATTACATAATCCTCTGAAATATTTTCGAAAAAAATTGAAAAGACAAATTTATTGGCATGTACAGGACTACAATATGCCACACGGTCCGTACATAAATAACATCCTTCACAGATGATCACCTATTTTTGGGCGTGTTAACCTTTCCGATGATTTAAGAGCAGATCTTTGACACTTCAAAGAAAAAATTAAAAGACTACAAAGCGTTGTTTATTAGTAAAAGAACACAATTTTCAAATAATTCTTTGGTTATAAAACGTGCGATTCATTTAAATGAAGATTTATGTAGAGTAAAAGCTTAGCTCTTTTCTTATATTAAGGCCTGGCTTGACGACAGCGCTTTTTTAGTGTGAACTATAAATCTTAATTAATGCAAATATCTTAATATCTGATTGCAAATTCAGTGCGGAAGATGAAAAGTACTACATGTTTACACCCTAACTCACCCCTAAAAAAAAGAAGGGGTCGAATGTGCTACATTAAAATTAAAAAACTATTTTCCTCATCGGAAATTCGACATGGATTTAGCCTTAAAATAAGGCTATTAAAGAGGTAAAAGTATAAAGGAGGGTTATTTCCAGGAAATTCCTGTAAAGGATTAATTTTTTATAAAGTAGAGTCATTTTCTTAGTAATTAATCATCTTTTTACAACATAATGGAAATATATCGATATCTAGCCGCAAACCGCAGTTTCCGCAAAAACATCTGTCTCCGTGTCAAATTCACGATCATAATAAGGAAAAGGTCACCAAACTCTACCTGTAAGTTAAGACCGCCAAAAGGAATAAGAAATGATCAACTGACTTATTACAATGTTTACTGAATGGCTTATGCTAATATATTATTTCCATTCCTTTTCCAACACCAAATATAGGAAACCCTTACAATGTCGTTTATCGTTTAAGAATACGCTCGTTTAATTAACCTTTACCTCCCAAGATCTCATTAGCAATTCCCCTTACTGTCTGCCATATAATTCTTGCGATGTTAGTTCGGAGCATTTGGTATTGGATCCACTAATAATCCCCTAATTGATATTTTTCTTTGTTCTCATCGCTTGTCTGCTTGATATTGTATCAATAGTTTAAGGAGAAATTATGTCTTGGTCAGCCATGGGAGTTAAAGGGTTACTGTGCTGTAGATTAAACTAACTCCTATGACACAAACTGAATAATCATATCAATGCCATGCAGGAACTAAATAAGCGTAAAAATTCCCCAGGATGAAATATTGTGAAAAAAGCACAAAATGAAACAGGAACTATATATTGGTGTGTAAACTGTTACTTCAAGGTATTCCCTCCTCACCAATCACTTTGGTGAAACATATATTACTACAAATCCCCCTGTAGATAAACAATAACATTTATTGTCCTGAAGCGACTGTCTGAATAGCAAATTGCTAAAAGAGAGGTCAACTAGATGAAAAAAAATTCAAATTTCCAAGTCGTTTCCAAAACTTCCAACCATAACTTATTGGTACGGTAGAAAGTATTTTTAAAAGAGTCCTGTGATTACTATGCTCCTTCTTCTAAGTTCTAAACTTAGCGGTGCCATATTTTCCCAGACCTACATTGAACCTATAAGTTGTTACAAGGACAGCAACCAGGGACACATGATGGACAGTTAGAGTCTGGTTGTCTTAAGTGAGCTTTTTCAAATTCAAAGGGACCTTTACCCAGCAGTGTCAAAATCCAATTTTCAAATGTTGCGTTAGAATAACAGTTGGTCAAGAGAATATATTCTCTTGGTTCGTTCCCCTCCTCATCAGCAGTTTTCCAAGTTTTGTTCTCATTTTGGATTCAATTTCCTGATTTTGAGTCATGACAATTTAATCCTTGTGACTTATAAACATGACCACATACGCTAACATAAGAAGAGCATGGGATGACAAAATGTGCCAGAGGTCATGGGCGTCAAAAAAATTCAAAATTTTGCACTCTTGGTTATGATCTCTTGATTTTTCAGGAGTAAGCGATTTATCTGTTGTCGCTTTTTCATAAAAAATATCACCAGCATAAAACCACAAAATAACCATGAACACTACATAAATAAACTGAATAACAATGTTGCACTTAGTCTTTGCCCTTCCTGCCCAATTGATTTTTTCCCAGTTAACACAAACATGGCCTATAATAGCAAAAATGTCTTCTATAATACAGGTTAACAAGAAAGCTTCAGGAATATTTCTTACAATAAACCCATATAAAACGAATGGTATAGCAAAAGCTATGAAAAAAAAAAGACACTTCCATGAACAACAATCTAGGCCCACTTTCCGAAACGTCCAGATAGCAATTAAAATCCACCAAATTACAAAACAAACAAAAAAAACCGCGTAGTTAACCAGCCCAGCTTCTGAATGACTCAGTGTGCCAAAATAGTTACAAATATACAGAGGTACTAGGAAGAAAAGGAAGAAACTGGCTGCGCCAACTATTTCCCCTTCTCCCGAATTCTCTTTCATTTCTATTTCATTGTACAACAAAACAACGATCAATCCTGCAATGACAAACATAAACCATGTATCAAACTGAAACGTCAGCTTAGTTGGGCAAAGATGATAAACAAAGGACAAACAACCTTCAAAAAATAAAGCCCAGGCAAAAGCATAACCCATCGAAAACGCCTGCTCATGATTACGAGAAAATTGTTGTGCCTCCATATACATCACAGAAATAGCTAGAATTAGGCCATGAATCATATATGTTAAGTTACTTAACATTAAATTGATTGGAAAATCACCATACTTTCTGACTCTGTAACAAAAGTCATTGTAATAACAAGTGTCTCTGTCTCCTTCTTGTATCATCAGATGCCACTTGGCGAAAACAAAGTAGCCTGCAACAATCGTCGACAAAAGGCCTACAATAAGAGTTATGTATGAGTATGGTTTAGGATCTTCCTTGCGCCATCTTTGATAAACTTCATACAGGTTTTTCATTCCCTCTTCTTCTGAGATCGGAAAGCTGCAAATACCGAAGCATGCCACCAAGGCACCACAGCCTACTGACACTACGACCAGGAGAAGTATAGGCCAAAAGAAGGAATAATCAAATGATCTTTTCAAAGTTAATGTCACAGTCTTAGTCGCCTCAGCTGGAGTCTCACCTGTGGCATTCTTAATTGCAATTCCAATAAACCAGCTTGAGGTGGAATCAGTCAATGGTGGAATAGAAACTCTAGACAAAGTAATCCGTCCCTTTTTGGCAAAAGACAAACGAATTGACCCTCCCCTATAGTCGACAACGTCAATATTCTTATCGACATCCTTACAGTCACGCGATACTTTTAGGTAAGCTGGTACGTCAGATTCAGAAGTGACAGTGACGTCAAGCTGCTTGTCTGAGATGTCTTCTGTTGGGATGAACTGAAATACTTTGATTGATTCATATGGACCTAAATCGAAAGTCAGTGGTTTATTGAGGACTATTCCTGAAACAGAACTTTCTACCTGCACTTTAAAAGCATGGTTTGGTGTTCCTGAGAATAACAGATGTTTTTCTTGATCTTTGTTACTATGGTCACGCGACGGACATATGATGAGAGAACTCCAGTCACCTTTTGATTTCCAAACATCCAAGTTGCCCAGTAAGTGGGGTTCATCTGCTCCATATACTGATGCATGCAAAAATCCTAATGGAGGGAATATAAATCCTCAATTTCTGTTGTGTGAAGGTTTAAACCTTCAAATGTATCAGTAATTGTTAAGAATTTTTTCAAATTCTAATGTCAATCGAAGATGGACATTTGGCAAAATTGTCTCAAGTCAAGAATTTTTATGTTTGTGATTTAACTAACATCAGTTTATTCAGTTTGAGCTACGTCTAAGAGATAGTTGTGTGAGAGATTTCCGGTTAATTTTTTTCGTATATTCTTTGGTCAATGGGGTTAACCAATCAGCCGTGAAAAAGTTAAACGGTTTGTTGAGTGCAGAAACGTTTCTTTTACCTGAAACGGAATGAAATTAAATAATAGCTGTTCAATGGCCAAAAGCCATCACCCCCTCGAGACCCTATTGTTTACGTTGGTTTGGGAAATTGATAGCCCAGCTCGTGGCACCTTTAAAAGAAGTGAAACAGCAACAGGCCATTTTACAGTTGTTTACTTAGTTAAAAGCCTTTGATTTAGAGTGAGGCTGAAGTTGACCTTATCGCGATAGAGACCAGTATCTTGTTAGCATGATTACAAAGTAATTTACATTTGAAAACAACAAGGTTTCTATCATAGCGAGGTCATCCTTAGCTTCACCTCTGTTGACAGGCTTGGCAACCAACCAAGCAACTGTAAAATGGATTATTCCTAAGAGATAGTTGTGTGAGAGATTACTCAGCGTTAATTGATTTCCGGTTGATTTTTTTCGTATATTCTTTGGTCGGAGTTGATACGATTACAGAATACGAATAATACTTTAATACCATGTCAAAACCTAAATATACATCAAAGTTATCATTTTATGCTAATTCAATACGAACTTTTATTGACACTATACGGACTACGAGTCGCCAAGCTCGTAGTTAAAACAGAGCGTCGCCAGGCGTAATGGCATTTAACTAAAGTAAACATTCTCTCGTTCAGACGTTTAAAATGTCTAAAATACCACTTTCAAAAATAATCAGAAACGTTCTAAAAGCCGGCCAGCCGTGAAGCTGATTTTCATGAGAGAAACGTACAAAGAAAGCACAAAAATCTGTCTTTGTCTGTCTTTGGTCAGCCTTGGCATCGAAAGTAGCGTGCATTCTTTCGATCGCGTGAGATGGCCTCCACGTAAACCCCTTGTACATTTTTTCACATTTTCACTTGAAACGACAAGTTTTGAAGAATCCATGTGCTTAGATGATAAACTTACTTCATCAAATATGTATATTATTACAATACATCATAACTCGCGATTATTAAGTGAAACTAATGTCAAAAATCTACTTGCAGTCGGCCTATTTTCGTCGCGAAAAAAAGCATACGTTGCTTGAAACGAAGACAATTTACCCAAAATGTCAAAAGAAAGAAGATACACGCGCTTACCATTCGATTCGCTGTTCACAATTTTGGCTTTCACCTGCAAGAAGCGTTTTTGATGGCTTGGTCCACTTGTCTTCACGACACATAAGTTGCTCACATATTTGGAAGCTGCAAGTCTGCCTGTAACCATGGCAGACATTGTAAGGTTACTTGCCAAGTCTGGCTTTCCGAAAGAGCAATCGACAGTAAACTGGTTTGCTTGCGTTACGAAGGGCCAGAGGTAGACAGGGAACAGAAAGAGTACTGGAAGAAATGTAACAGTAACGGCCATGTTTAGACTTCAGACAATTCCCTTTTCATCTTCAATTTGGGGTGCCTACTCTGTGTAATTCAATAGGGATGTCTAATCCAATCGGATCGCATATCGTGGGTGCCGCGTGTTACGCGTGAAAACTGCCGTCGCTCGAGGAAATGTCGCATGTAATTTAGGACCATGTTACGCGCAACCAGATGGGAGATTGTGGCTATGAACTTTAAATTACCACCGTTTGTGTATCGTAATATTCAGGAGAAGTAGTTTCTTTCGGAGGAAAGCCATTAAGGAACGTAATCTGTACTAAACATGACCTCCTTCGGGGATTGGGCTTAGGTGAGGCGGTGTATTGGGCGCTTTTTACAATTGAATCAATGACTGATACTGCATCTTTATGATGAAATTTGTAATAATAATAATTATTGTTATTATCATCATTGCTATTATTATTATTATTACTATTATTATTAATATTATTATCAACATTACTGTGTCAAGTCATCCCTTACTTACCAAAAATAATGACCTTTAGTTGTTCCGCACATCACCGACCCTTCATGTCTTTTTCGATCAAAAATTGGTATTTGAAAGGCGTGGGAAAACAAATTCACGTGGCGTGGTGACGTGTATTTTAGGATAATACTCTGTCATTTTGTCCACCACTCATTTGTCATTTCAATAACTCAATTTACTCTGAACCACTTATCAGATCATTATTGGCCAAACTCCAGTGAGTGTCAGCCTGAGTGAACGTTACCAGGACTGAATTAAAAACAAAAAACAAAACAGAACAATATGTTCAGAGCCACTCAAATACGTTTTTGGAGGATAATAATTATTATATTGTTAATCCCTGGAACCTTAAAATCCGTACTTTGCCTTGTGATAAAGTTTTGTTTACAATCCGCATGTATGTATGTTGGAGAAGAATCAGTTATGTATATATTATTCAACATATAAGCTGAGTATAGAGTAGATGTTAGGTCTTAGTCGAGATAGGTTTTTTCCAATGTGGCAGTTAGGTAACAACTAAGCATGGCCGCGTTCATTTAATTTTTAGAGCTAAACTTAAAACTAGACAGTGCTACTGATTCAAGTCCAGGTTTCTTTCACCGCACTGAGATATCTTCTTCACCTTTCAGTAAGAATAAGAATAAAGTCTTTTCTTAAATGGTTTGGTTCGATGTCCAACTCTAAACAGACACGAGAGGAATCGAAAAAAATAGAACCAAGCTCTTTGTTAATCCAGGTGAACTCTCTGATCATGTTCTCGCTTAAATATACACCAGTGACTTGAAATAGACTCCTCCCTTTGACCCTTTCAAAGGTGAACTGTTCTAAAAACGCTTCGTCTCTGATGGCTGATCTGGAAATCAGAAAAACTTTCAGCCGGATGAGCCTGACATGAGGGGATTTTGGCTGAAATGGTGGCTCATGCAAAGATACTGATTTTCAATTAATGCCGATTAATACGAATACGGCCTCCACTTTCTCCTCAATGTTATTGTGGAATGTTGCAGTACTGGGAAAAGTTTGGGGATTGGTTTTCCTCCGATGGACTTTGATGTGTTATATGCCAGTCTTTGTCTGGTCTGGATTCATCTATGCGAAAGACCTTTGAGTCGATTTTGATATTACATAATCCCCTAGCATAATTTCGAAAAAAATTGAAGAGACAAATTTATTAGCGTGGGCAGGACTACAATATGCCACACGGTCCGGACATAAATAACATCCTCCACAGATGATCATCTATTTATGGTCGTGTTAACCTTTCCGATGATTTAAGACCAGATCTTTGATACTTCAAACAACACTAAAAAGACAATTTTCTAATAATTCTTCAGTTATTAAACGTGCGATTCATTTAAATAAAGATTCATATAAAATAAAAGCTTAGCTATTTCCTTACAGTAAGGCTTGGCTTGATGACAGCACTTTTTTTTAAGCGTGAACTATAAACCTTAATAAATGCAGCTTCTTTTTACTCAAAGTTTTTCGGGAAGGACCTACACTAACGGTATCCTAAGCCTTTTGGTTATCAGAAATTATCACTTTCCCATGACGACCGGGAAAGGGTCACATGTGCCCCCCCCCCCCCTCCACTTCACCTCAACAACACCCTTACTACGATGATACTGTTAGAACTAAAACTCTAACACTCGTTGTTTGGTTGTCTCTTTCTTCATTCACTCTTACTACTCAAGGCATTACAACGGGGACTAGCTCTGATCTCACTTGGAAAGTGTGCGTCACCGATTATAAAGGTGACACCTACTGAGCTGTCAATCTCTAACCTTCGTCATGCTTTTACACTTAACTAGCGAATCACGCTAAACTACGCAGAGCGGAGTTCGCTTACTAAGTAGATACCTTTGCGATGTTTCCCCTTCACAAAACGACTTTCTACCTTAAATTTCTAAGTCTTACGTTCAAGGTCGTGCGAAACAAAAACAAGATTGATAATATGAAAATTATAATAAAATCATATTTGAAAAGATATTTTAAGAGAAAATAGCCCTTGAAGACATGACGGCAGAATAAACAGAAAATTCGGAGAAGAAAGGGCGTACCCAAGGTACCGCCCCTAAAAGAGCTACGTGCTAGCCGTATAAGTTATCTGATTACAAATTCAGTGCGGAAGATGAAAAGTACTACATGTTTACACCTTAAGTCACCTCTAAGAAAAAGAGGTGTCGAACGTGCTAAATTAAATTTAAAAACTATTTTATCTAAAACTATTTTCCTCGTCAGGAATTCGACATGGATTTAGCCTTAAAATGAGAGTATTATAGAGGTAAAGGTATAAAGGAGGGTTATTTCCAGGAAATTCCTGTACAGGATCAATTTTTTTATAAAGTAGAGTCATTTTCTTGGTAATTAGTCATCTTTTAGCAAAATTATGGAAATATGTCGATATCTAGCCGCAAACCGCAGTTTACGCAAAAACATCTGTCTCCATGTCAAATTCACGATCATAATAAGGAAAAGGTAACCAAAATCTACCTGTAAGATTCCAAAAGGAATAAGAAATGACCAACCGGCTTATTACAATATTTACTGAATGGCTTATGCTAATATATTATTTTCATTCATTTTCCAACACCAATATAGCAAACCCTTACAATGTTTTTAGTTTAGATATATTTCTATTTTTATCGTTTAACAATACGCTTGTTTAATTAACCTTTAACTCCCAAGATCTCATTAGTAATTCTCCTTACTGTCTGCCATACAGTTCTTGCGATGTTAGTTTGGAGGATTTGGTATTGGATCCACTAATAATCCCCTAATTGATATTTTTCTTTGTTCTCATCGCTTGTCTACTTGATATTGTATCAATAGTTTAAGGAGAAATTATGTCTTGGTCAGCCATGGGAGTTAAAGGATTACTGTGCTGTAGATTAAACTAACTCCTATGACACAAACTGAATAATCATATCAATGCCACGTATGAACTAAATAAGCTTAAAAATTCCCCAGGATGAAATATTGTGAACAAAGCACAAAGTGAAACAGGAACTATATATTAGTGTCTAAGCTGTTACTTCGAGGTATTTTCTCCTCACAAATCACTTAACACATTTTACCTAACAGAACATATCTTACTACAACTCCCCCTGTAGATAAACAAAAACACTTATTGTCCTAAAGTGACTGTCTGAATAGCAAATTGCTAAAAGAGATGTCAACTAGATGAAAAAAAAAATTAAAATTTCCAAGTGGTTTCCAAAACTTCTTAACATAACTTATTGGTGCGGTAAAAAAAATAAGTTTAAAAGAATCCTGTGATTACTATACTACTTAATGGCGCCATATACTCACGGACCTACATTGAACCTATAAATTGTTACAAGGACGGCAATCAGGGACACATGATGGACAGTTAGAGTCTGGTTGTCCTAAGTGAGCTTTTTCAAATTCAAGGGGATCTTTACCCGGCAGTGTCAAAATCCAATTTTCAAATGTTGCGTTAGTATAACAGTTGGTCAAGAGAATATATTCTCTTGGTTCGGTCCCCTCCTCATCAACAGTTTTCCAAGTTTTGTTCTCATTTTGGATTCTATTTCCTGATTTTGAGTCATGACAGTTTAATCCTCCTTGTGACTCATAAACATGACCACATACGCTGACATGAGAAGAGCATGGGATGATAAAATGTGCCAGAGGTCATGGGCGTCAAAAAAATTCAAAATTATGCACTCTTGGTTATAATCTCTTGATTTTTTAGGAGAAAGCGTTTTATCTGTTGTTGCTTTTTTAGCAAAAATCCAACCAGCCACACACCACAAAATAACCATAAGCACGATATAAGCAACTTGAATACAAACGTTGCGCTTTTTGTTTGCGCATATTGCCCTTTTGATTTTCTCCCAGTTGCACAAGGCATTTCCAATAATAGCAATCATGCATTCTGCAATGCAGGTAAACAAGAAAGCTTCAGGAATATTGCTTGAAAAAAACCCACATAAAATGAATGGTAAAACAAAACCAAGAAAAAACCAAAAACACTTACCGCGATTTTCTTTCATGTAACTTATTGAACAACTAAAATCTGGGAACAGCTTCCAACCCGTCCAGAAAGTAATTAAAATCCACCAAATTGCAGCAAAAGTAAAAAAAGCCGGAGCGTTAACCAGCCCAGGTGTTAAATGGCTCCGTGTGCCAAAGTAGTTAAAAATGTACAGTGGTACTAGGAAGTAAAGGAAGAAATTGGCTGCGTCAACTAATCCCTTTTTTCTCGGATTCTCTTTCATTTCGATTCCATTGTACAACAAAACAACGATCAATCCTGCAATGACGAACATAAACCCTGTATCAAACTGAAACGTCAGCTCACTTGGACAGAGATGATAAACGAGGGAAAAACAACCTTCGAAAAATAAAGCCCAGGCAAAAGCATAACCCATGGAAAACGCATACTGTGGTGGGAGATCATTACTATTTCTAAAACGAGAAAATAGTTTTGCCTCCATATACATCACAGAAATAGCTAGAATTAGGCCATGAATCATATATGCTAAGTTACTAATCATTAAATTGAATGGAATATCATCATACTTGCTGACCCTGTAACAAAAGTCGTTGTAATAACAAGTGTCTTTGTCTCCTTCTTGTATCATCAGATGCCAGTCGGCGAAAACAAACTGGCCTGCACCAATCATCAACACAAAGCCAACGATACCAGTTATGTATGAGTATGTTTTGGGACCACGTTTGAACCAGTTCCACATAAATTCACAGCATCCTTCCATTCCTCTTTCTCGAGAGGTCAGAATTAAATGTACTGCAACATCAGATTGCATATATAGTGGGATCGATCCATAATCCGCTCTTCCATTTCCTCCAGTGCTACTCGGCGAAGAATGATGAGTTCCACTGGAAGCTATTGGAAAGCAGCGAATAGCGCAGCACGCCACTGCGGCACCACAGCCTACTGACAACGCGACCAAGAGAAATATGGGACAAAAGTAGGAATAATCAAATGATCTTTTCAAAGTTAATGTCACACTCTTAGTCGCCTCATTTGGCGTCTCACCTGTCGCATTCTTAATTGCAATTCCAATAAACCAGCTCGAGGTGGAATCAGTCAATGGTGGAATAGAAACTCTTGACAAAGTAATCCGTCCCTTTTTGGCGAAAGACAGGCGAATCGACTTTCCCTTATAGTCAACAACGTCAATGTTCTCATTGACATCCTTGCAGTCACGTGATACTTTTAGGTAAGCTGGTACGTCGTCAGATTCAGAAGTGACAGTGACATCAAGCTGCATATCTGAGATGTCTTCTGTTGGGATGAACTGAAATACTTTGATTGGTTTATATGGACCTAAACGGAAAGTCAGTGGTTTATTGAGCACTATTCCTAAAACAGAGCTTTCTACCTGCACTTTAAAAGCAAGGTTTGGTGTTCCTGAGAGTACCAGATGTTTTTCTTGATCTTTGTTATTGTGGTCACGTGACGGACATATGATGAGAGAACTCCAGTCACCTCTCGATTTCCAAACATCCAAGTTGCCCAGTAAGAGGGGTTCATCTGCTCCATACACTGATGCATGCAAAAATCCTGTTGGAAGGAATACAAATCCTAAATTTCTGTTATGTGAAGATTTATACCTTGGTTGATTTACAGTCAAATATACTAGTCATTGCTTAGGATTTTTTAAAATTCTAGTGTCAATCGAAGATGGTCATTTGGCAAAATTGCTTCTAGTCAGAAATTTTCTATGTTTGTGATTTCATATTTATAAAGTTTGAGCTAAGTCTCAGTGGGGTTAACCAGTCAGCCATGAAAAATTTAAACGGTTTGTTAACTGTGAAAAAAGTTTCTTTTACCTGAAACGGAATGAAATAAACTAATAGCTGTTCAATGGCCAAAATTTTAACCAATTGTCGTGAAAGCCATCACCTCCTTAAGACCCTCTTGTTTACTTTTGGTTTTAGGACCTTTTGGCTTGACTTGCTGCAGAGCGTGACAAACTAACGGATTTTTCCACGAAGAAAGCGATTTTAACACCTCAGTCGATTAATGAATCTTAAACAGGGCAGATCATAAATCTAGAATTGAAGCTTTACGTTGAATTAAGGTACCTTGAATAATTACACTGTTAACATCTGTGACAAAGAGGAGTCAAATATTTGATAAGGAACGCATCACAGCAGGGATGATCAAAGGTTCGTAAAGTACACTCCACTCGTGGTTCTTTGCCGTTCAGCTTTCAGATGCAAATTATTTTATCTTTCCGAGAAATTGTTCCTGTATCATCCACAAGCGCAAACAAAACCGGCCTAATTTATTCATGATATCTGTCTATAAAAAGACGACTAGACAATTTAAATTATTTTTCAACAACTGGGATTCCAGTTAAAATTGCTGACTGATTCAAAAGCTGTAGCACGAAAAGTACGCAATCAACCCGAACTACCTCGATCAAATCGAATTTCTTCCATCCAACCCCAACTGCCAGGATCATTTCCCGGAGAAGGAACACTTCAGGATGTAAAAGGGTCCAAATTGGTCTTCAGTTTTTCCATTTATTGTTGTTCCATTAGCAGTATGGGTGAATCTTTTTTTCGGTGTGTACGCCCGCATATTCTATGGTCGGAGTTGATACGAATACTGAATACGAATAAGTACTTTTGATACTATGTTAAAACCTATGATTATGCTAAATATACATCAATGTTATCATTTTATGTTAATTCAGTACGTACTTTAACTGACATTATGCGGACTAAGAGTCGCCAAGTTCGTAGTCAAAACAGAGCGTTGCCAAAGCGTAATAGCGTTTTACCGACAGGTTTCTTAAAAAACTTTCTAAAATACCACTTTCATAATAATCAGAAACGTTCGAAAAGCCGGCCAGCCGTGAAGCTGATTTTCATGAGAGAAATGTACAGAGGAAACACAAAAATCTGTCTTTGTTTCATGACTAATAAAACATCTGCCTTGGATAGCCTTGGCAACGAAAGTAGGCGTGCGTCCTTTCGATCGCGTGAGATGGCCTCCACGTAAACCCCCAGTACATTTTTCACAACTTTTACTTGAACCACAAGTTTGCAGAATTCATGTGTTAAGATGATAAACCTTTCTTCATCAAATCTTTATTTTTAAAATACATCATAGCTCGCGATTATAAAGTGAAACTAATGACAAAAATCTACTTGCAGTCGGCCTATTTCCGTCGCGAAAAAAAGCATATGATGCTTAAAACGAAGAAAATTTACCCAATATGTCAAAAGAAAGAAGATACGCGCGCTCACCATTCGATTTGCTGTTCACAATTTTGGCTTTCACCTGCAAGAAGCGTTTTTGATGGCTTGATCCACTTGTCTTCACAACACATAAGTGGCTCAGATATTTGGAAGCTGCAAGTCTGCCTGTAACCATGGCAGACATTGTAAGGTTACTTGCCAAGTCTGGCTCTCCGAAAGAGCAATCGACAGTTAACTGGTTTGCTTGTGTTACAAAGGGCAAGAGGTAGACAGGGAACAGCAGGAGTACTGGAAGAAGTGTAGCAGCAACGGCCATGTTTAGACTTCTGACAACTTCCTTTTCATTTTCAATTTATGCGTGCCTACTGTGTTATTCAATAGGGATGTCTAATCCAATCGGGTCGCATATCGCCTACAACCTATGCACACAAACCCCTTATTTGGTGCACGCCACTCCTTAAATATCGTCTCGACATTAGCATAAGAAATAATATTCACAACTATTTGACAAGTACATGACATTTTCATAAGTATGCCACACCTCGATGGCTATGCTACAGAGGGTGCCGCGAGTTACAGGTGAAAACTTCCGTCGCTCGAGGAAATGTCGCATGCAATTAAATATTTAAGACAGTGTCACGCGCAGCCAGAAAGGGGATTGTAGCTAGGAACTTTAAATTGCCACCGTTCGTGTGTCTTAATCTTCACGAGAAGTATTTTCTTTCGGAACAATCCCCTTAAGGTACATAATCTTTACTAAACATGACCCACTTCGGAGATTGGGCCTAGCTGAGGGGCTGTATTGGACGCTTTTTATTGTAATATGGAATCAAAAACAGATACTGCATCTTTTTAATAAAAATTATAGTATTGTAAAATTATAAAATTAAAATTATGATTATTAATATTGTTATCACTTATCATTATTATAATTATTTATCATCAACATTACTATATGAAGTTACCAAAAATAATGACCTTTAGTTGTTCCGCACGTCACTGACCCTTCATGTCTTTTGCGATCAAAAATTGGTATTTGAGAGGCGTGGAAAAGAAATTCACGAGGCGTGATGACGTGTATTTTGGGATAATACTCTGCCTTTTAGTCCACCACTCATTTGTCATTTCGATGATTCAATTTTGGAGGATAATAATTATTATATCGTTAATCCCTGGAACCTTGAAATCCTTACAAAATCGTACGAAATAATTTTTAAAAAAATCAAAAGAATAAAAAGTTTTGAAATAAAAACAGCGATAAAAAAACTATTTTTATATCAAATTTCTTTTGCCTAAAACTCTATACCACCATTTTCTACCTGTAAGAACTTTTAAAATTAAGTCGTCGAACCTTCACTCAAAAAATTCCACCACTCAATTTCGTCCCAAAAAATTAAAAGAACGGAATAAAAAACTATTCCAGGTTTGACTTAAATTTCGCAAAAAAGTATCTTTTACACATAAAAGCGTTCTATTTTCTTTGTCCATATCCTATCAAAGCACTCTTTACTGTTGTGCCAAGCTGTTAACTGATTTTTCACATAAAAGAACTGCTCATCACACCACATCTCGCTCGAAGCCTGGACCCTTGTTTCCCACCTTTTGCGCCTACTGTTTCCCTGCTCAGCGATCTGATCCTCTTTCTTTAATGCAACCTGGCCTTGTATTGTAACCTTAGCAGTGGTTGGGTCGCCTTCTTTGATCGTAAATATTTCTTTTCTGATGCTATCATAGATGCGGTTCGTGTCTTTTAGATGAAAACATCCAAGGTCAGTGGTAAATGACAGCTTGTATTCATCTGACAACTGACATGTCTCCAGTGTCCTACATAAAAAAGAAGCATCTTTCATGGGTGTAATACTATTTTCATGACAACATAATGAAAATGTCGAAGGTTTCATAATAGGTAGAAGTTACCACCCTGCAGTAAAACTATTCCACAGAAAAACTACTCCACAGGGAATATTTTCAGGCGATAAATAATACACCCTTTTTGTTACACAGCTAAATTAAATCCTTTCCTTTATAAATTGAAGGCTCTAGAGAATTTGTTTCCCAACGAATTCTCATGACTGTAAAATAATTAAGAATAGCGTGATGGACCAGCAAACAAATATAGAACAAAGTAAACTCGAGAAAACAAAACAGCGAGCGAGACCGTGATCAAACGACCATATCAGCCAATCAACCAGTTACCAGCGAACAGAGGAAGGAACCAAAATCTAATGTTTAGTTTCGCTAAGTGACAACAAATGTCCAGCTGCGACAGTCAAAACCTCTTTCAGTTTACCTTGCTTTCTTTGGTCTTCTCCGCCACTCAAAAGGAAGAACCTCGTGTTTATACTCCATCGTTGATTTCATCTCTTGCAATTGCAACTTGGAATCCCTATTTCTGACGTCTTCACTTGATGCTCGAACTGGAAGTAGTAGCTTGCTTTGACTTCCTGTCTTTATAAAGAGACTTGAGGACTGGGGAGAAGGCCACACTAACGGCCATTGGACTGAGGAGAGCGCCAGGCGAATTTTATGACCAGCGGCAACAGTGTAGGCTGTAGAGTCAAGCTTTAACTGCGCATGGATGTTTTCATTGGGTTGAAGAGGTTGAATATCTTCTGAAGCATGACCGCGGAGATGAGTCAAGTTTAGCACTCCTGCGGGAAATTAAAAAATTAACAAATTTCGAAATCATCAGACAAGGTTGAGCACAATGACTTAAATTGAAGTGGCGTGTAGATTAAATTTTAGTGACTTTAAGTCTAAGGTTTTTATCTTGGCTACCGCAAACAACAAACTTCAAAACATCACGTGACGTAGCTTTAGGCACCCGGTTTGCGGTTTGCAGTTCACGTTTGATCGTGAAATGGGATGTTTTGCGGTAAGCAAATTTACGACAAAGGTTTTCTCATACTTAGGTACTCTTAACCTTAACTAAATTGTAAACGACCAAAGCAAACAGTAAAAGACTGAAAATAGGAAAGTATCAGAAACACCAGGTGGTTTGTTCGTTTAGTGGACCTACCTCTTGTGATTAGCACTGATTCGCCATTAGGAAACACGTCACAAAGTCTGGCGGCTACCAGAGCACTGGGTCTATCACAGCTTATCTGTAAATAAACCTCGGGAAAGCCTACTACTGACACAGGCTCTTTAAGCGTTTTCGTCTCCCAGCACTCCGCCAAAACGTCCTCTATTCCCTGCTCCACCGGCAGATCCTCGAGACCATTTGCAAAAAGAAAACCGCCCCACGCTCCACTGAGATACGAGGACTTGACTGGTACAATGGATTCTGTTGGCTCTTTTTCAATGATTTTTTCGTCTCTATCCGATGCAACTGCCAGTCCCCTATCAGTTTGTAGGAAAAATTCGTGTTGGTGTACATTTGGTGAGGGCCAGCAGTCTTCTGCTATCCATCTCCCTGGCCATATCTCCTTCTGGTGCGCCTTCGAAATGCCTGGGGCCGTAAAAATGGTTGGTCTTAGTACAAACAGATGTTTTTGACAAAAAAATCAGAAAAATAAATAAAAAGGCAACCGATGATAACATACCATCCCTCATGTACACCCTCATCACAGGCTCGTCCATGACACCGGTTGGAAGGCCCTTTAAATGGTAGTCCCACCACCTCAAGCACTCTTTTATGTGGTCTATACGAGGCCCTGGCGTGGACACACCAGGCCATTTATGAGGCCACGGTCCAATGAGCGCTCGAACTGGGCACTTCAGATGTTCCACCATACGAAATATAGCATCGGTATAGAGATCAGTAAATCCTCCCACAAGGAACACGGGACACCTGATGGAGGCGTAATCCTCAGAAATGGAACCATGCTGCCAGTATGCATCACGTGACTGATGTGAAAGCCAAATGTGTATCCAGGGTTCACTGGATTTGTTTAGGCGATCCAGCCAAGCTTCCTTCCATCTGTAAGGTTTACAGAAATAATATACTATGATAAACACCTAAAGAAATTTAATGCAAGATTTATCTGCGCGTTACACAAAAATATTTGATGGAGAAGAAATTTTTATTTTAGCTCGAATAAAACAACTACCTTGGCCCAAAGTTCTCAGGATAGGGAGGACGCGCATTATATAACATCATGAGATGTGACCATGATAACATTTCCCTGCCAAGAATACAGCCACCTCGGTAATGGATATCATCAGCGTATCGGTCATCACTAGAGTCAGCAGATATGATTGTCTTCAATGCTGTAGGTTGTCTGGCAGCTACTTGAAGGCCATTGAATCCTCCCCAGCTTTTACCATACATACCTGCAATTTATAATGGTAAGCCACGAAAATCACCACAGCCTACGAAGAAACTCGCCCTCGTTATTCACGAAAACCACCGGTTGGTCTCCTTCGCGGCTGTTTTGGGATGTCACGTAATGACGCTCTTTCAAAGCTTTGCGTGACGTGCTCAAAAAAATTATTGTTCTAAGAAAGTTCTCGCACCAATAGGAATGGTCGCATCAAAAGATAATTTCAGCCGAGAGAAAGTTAGTATAGTAGAGACTGGGACGTGCACAAAGGTCTTGCTGTGCATGTTGATTGAGTATCGTAAAAGCACAGCGTAGTAATCACAAAAGCCAGTCAAAGCAAACAGAAAAATTGCGAGGAGCCCATCAGAACTAAAAGAATAAACAAGCAAACCGCTTAAAGCACCAAAAAGACATCAGTTAACGATGAGTTTCAGCTATGCATCTGATTGGTTGAGGAGGTGTATCATAATAAAGTATAAAAAGTATAAAAAGTAGTGAAGCAAAACCAGTGTTATCTCGAATCACTTTCGAAATTCCATTGAAAATTGCCCTATTGCAATGGTAAACCCTTCTCAAGTAGTTTTTAGGTTAAATTAAGGTTTAAGGTGCCTGGTTTTTCTTTTCTTTCTCGCCGAATGAAAAGACTTTTCTCTGGTTTTCCGCGAAAATAAAACAATTCCCTCCTTGAGATCATCTAACCTACCAACATTTCCCGTGCACCAAGGTTGTTGTGAAACCCAGTTGATGACGTCACAGCAGTCATCTTGCTCTTGCTTTTCATATTCATCGTAATAAAATCCTTCTGAGTCCCCAGATCCCCGCATGTCCACACGGACACAAACATAACCATGAGAGCAGAAATATGAATGAACCGTTTCATCCCTCTGAGCCGTGTAGTCAGCGCGTCTGTATGGTAGAATTTCTAGCGAAAATGACAATAAACAAAAAGGAAGCGCAAAGCTTGTCTCAGTATTTCTATGAAGCAAAAAAATATACAATTTTGAATCATCTTTTCTGTCGAAATTTGTGTGTCAAGGTTTTTGAGTCTGATGATGACTTCCGCTAAGGTTTTCGAAACGTCAGTCACCAGTACTTCCCACGCGGACATTACAAGATTGCCGTCAAATCCCAAATTTGTATTTTCCACTCTCACTCTGTAAAAATTATGACTGGCAATAGCTGCAGGGAGAAATTACAGAAGACAGGGCCATTGAGGTCCATTTTGACGGGACGGTTCGAAGAAGGAGGTTGTAAAGTGATTCAATGAGATATAAATAAGTGGCCCTGTATTGTGAAATTTTACCAGCTCTTACCTAAAATAGCCGGATATTTTTCAGCTTCTGCGGATGTGTCCGATGTTTTGTCTTCCAGTTCAGGGATCCACAGTTTAGCTGCTAGTCTGATTCCATCTCGCATTGGTATCCAGGCCGTAGGAATTCGATGCACAGAATATGACATATTGATCTGTGCAGTTGAATTCCGCAAATAGAAAAATTATGAATAAATAAATGATAATGATAACGATAATATTGTATACGACCAATAATCAAGTTTTGCTCGTGATCAGATGATGGTGTGATTGTAGGGTGATATTGTCTAAGCCCTCTTCCCTTAAATTCTCGAAGATTCCAGACACGTTCGCCAGTCCTCTAAAAGACTGAAAACACAATGGAACAGCCTGTGGGTAAAAAAATTCCGCGCACTGAGCCACAAAGATTCAAAAGTGAGCGAGGTCTATTACAAAGTTCTTATGACACGCGTCCTGCATACTGCTAGGATCAGCAACTTCGTTAGCGTCATGTTTGTAGAGTCTCTGTGGCTCAGTGGTAGAGCATCGGAGTGAGGAATCCGATGGTCGGGAGTTCGATTCCTCATGGAGACTCAGAATTTTTTCTTTGTCCCACGCTCGTAACAAGACGAAAAACATCTTTGTCTATTTTCTTTCTTTACCGAGCTCAAAAATTACCATCTCTCTAATCCTATTCACTTAATGTCTGTTCTCAACTTCGTCTCGGGAAACATTAACACAAAGGGAAAATTAAAGTAATCGTTTCCCTTGAGGGGTGACATTCAGTGTACAATGTCTTGGTAAATAATGCAGTTCTTTTAGGTTGAAAACAGCCCATATTTGTGTCGATTTTTTCTTGCAATAAGAATTGTATCTCCATTTATGACAACGAATTAGAACATTTAAGTTTATTTGAAATAACCTTTTCACGATTCACTCCACCGGCCAGTGAAATTTTTCTAACGAGAGATAGGCCTAGGAACAATGTTTCGTGACACAATTAGCATATAAGGATTGTTTTTTTCTTTTGAAAAAAATCTATTTCTAACTCGCGGTCGAGATAACTCTACAATTGAATGAATATTCTGGCGCAATAAGCTGTTTTAAGAATGCCCTCGACTTGTAGAAGATCTAACATTAATACCAAATGCTTTTTCTTTGTGTTATTGGTAGTGAAGAGATAATTTGAGTGAATTTCAAAAACGATAACAAAAGTAATCAATATTGAAGAGCCCAATGCACAATACGCAGATTGCATTCCATCATATTTAGCAAAGTTTTCACGCTCTATTAATGCGTTCAATTGATTTTTTGTGTAAATCAGAGGTAGCAAAATGGAAATACAGTTACTGCTCTTTTGAAGAATAACTTTACTCACCGTTACCTCTCCGTAGAATTATTCTTCTCTGATACACGAGGGTTCTTTTGAAACCGGCTGTCAACTTGTTTTGAATTCCTTCACACGTTAGGAGCTTGGAGACGAAATATAATTTGACCGGATGTTTTTCACTGGTACGCAACGCTACAGAAGACCTCGATCGTCTACGATGACTGGCTACGAGGTTACTTGGTTGACAGTTACCGAGATTTCTCATTTTAATTCCTTAAGTAATTTAGAATCATAAAATGAGTTGTTTTCTTTGAAATCCACCGGAAGCGAAAGAACAGAAGCCTCATTTAGTTTTTCGCAGAGACCAGGGCAAATGACAATTATAGTCAGAATGGCTCCTGGTTTTAATACCTCAAAAAGCAAGGATTTTATTTTTTTAAATCCACAGTTGACAAAATTCAATTTAAGTTTTTTTATAGCTGACCGTCCATGTATTTCAGAATCATTCCATTATGTTAAAGCAAAATATTATTAATGGATAATATCCCATCTATTCATTGTTAGCTGATGCGTGAACAGAAAAACGATTGTGTACGGGCAGAACACTCTCATAAAAATCTGCACTAGTAACTCGTTTGCAGATAAGAGTAACACTCGATCCTGCAGTCGAATCAGGCTATTGTCTGCGACAGTAAATGGCGTCTCGATAATTTGAATTTGTTCGCGACCAACATTTTACCCAGGTCATATTTGTAGCTGAAATGAAGAATCCTTCCCATCGCTTGGCCGTGGAAGGTCTGGGTACGAGACTGCTTTGCAACGCAACACAATCATGTGACAACTTCCTTCCACCGAAAAAAACTGATGCCCCTTTCACACCAGCAAAATATGTTTAGATGAACGAGGCTTACCTGAACTTAAACCAGCAATATTAAACTGAAAAACTAAATTTTACATAGGGTTCAAGAAGTAACTAACTTTTATTATCGTGAATACTTTTAGAAGACAAATAAGCCTTGGATAACAAATGTTTAAAAAAGTTAGCGATGATAAAATCAATATTTTGACGACTCCAAAAAACAATTTTCTCCCTAAGCAACAACTGTAAAGATCACTTGCAGCCGCTGAAAAGTTTCACCGATTACTTTCATCCTAAAATCTAAAGTCAACGAAATATGTTTAAAAATAATTTTGCTTCATAAAATTCTCACAGGTTAGATCTAAATTTTCTCTTTATTGCTGAAAAAACCATTAAACATAAAAGCGTTCTATTTTCTTTGTCCACGTCCTATCAAAGCACTCTTCACTGTTATGCCAAGTTGTTAATTGACTTTTCACATAAAAGAATTGTTCATCACACCACATCTCGCTCAAGGCCTGGACCCTAGCTTCCCACCTTTCATGCCCACTCCCCCCCTGCTCAGCGATCTGATCCTCTTTCTTCAACGTAATAACGCCTTGCATTGTAACCTTAGCAGTGGTTGGGTCGCCTTCTTTGATTGTAAACATTTCTTTTCTGACGTTTTCGTAGATGCGGTTCGTGTCTTTCAGATGGAAACATCCAGAGTCAGTGGTAAATGACAGCTTGTATTCATCTGACAACTGACATGTCTCCAGCGTCCTACAGAAAATGAATTAAAAAAGGCTGCATCTTAACTGGGTGCTCATGGTAATCCCATAAAAAAGTTGAAAGTCTGATAACAGGGAAGAGGAATTTCTCACGATGCAGGGGAAATATTCCAAAAGAGTTGCACCAAGATTTTACAGAAGATAAATAATAAACCCTTTCATTGCTACATAATTTCATTGAAACCTTTCCTTTTGATAAATTGAAGGCTGAAAAATGTTCATCACCGCATATCAGTAATTAGTTGATGTGACCTTCCGACCAGCTGTGCATTAGATTTAACAACAAAACTGTGAAATTCAGTCTCTGCAAGAGGCAATCAAATACATCGACAAAAACAAATTTCCAGCTGTAGGAGTCAGCAACCTTTAAAGTTTACCTTTCCCTTTTTGGTTTTCTCCTCCACTCAACAGGGAGAATCTCGTGTTTATATTCCATCAGTGACTCTATTTCTTGCAATTGCAACTTGGAATCTTTTTTTCTGACGTCCTCACAAAATACTCGAATTGGAAGTAGTAGCTTGCTTTGACTTCCTGTTTTTATAAAGAGACTTGACGACTGCGGAGAAGGCCACACTAACGGCCAGTGGACTGAGGAAAGCGCCAGGCGAATTTTATGACCAGCAGCAACAGTGTAAGCTGTAGAGTCAAGCCTCAACTGCGCACGATAGTTTTCATTAGGCTGAAGAGGCTGAATATCTCCTGATGAATGACCACGGAGATGAGTCAAGTTAAGCACTCCTGCGAGAAAATTAAATAATAAGCAAAATATTTTAACATCATCCAAAGAGGTTGAACTCGGCGTGAAGATCAATTAATAGTGACTTTAAGTCTTAGGATTTTTATCGATTACCACGAAAGGCAAAACGTCAAAATATCGCGTGACATAGCTCTTGGCGCGGGATTTTCAGATTGGGTTTCACGTCTGAAGGGAAGGAGTGCTGTTTTGCGTTAAGTGATTTGAGACAAAAATTTTTCCTACTTAAACACTCTAAACTCACTTTCTATTGTTATTTATTTCTTATATATCTTAAATACCATCTGAACATTTAAGTTTTGTTGCGCAACGGGAAATAAGGAGAAAATTATGCGTTTAGACCTTAAACTCTCAGCCGATTCTGTATTCCTTCGACTTTTTCCGGAGAAAGGGCATACCTTGGCATTGTGCTTTCCTATCGCACTGAACTGTTTAAATTAACTATGCATGTGGCTGCAGCTTTGTTGAGTGTACATACCTCTTGTTATTAGCGCAGATTCGCCATTAGGAAACACGTCACAAAGTCTGGCGGCGACTAAAGAACTGGGTCTGTCACAAGTAAAATGTAAATGAACCTCGGGAAAGCCTACTACTGCTACAGGCTCTTTAAGCGTTTTCGTCTCCCAGCACTCCGCCAAAACGTCCTCTATTCCCTGCTCCACCGGCAGATCCTCGAGACCATTTGCAAAAAGAAAACCGCCCCACGCTCCACTGAGATACGAGGACTTGACTGGTACAATAGATTCTGCTGGCTCTTTTTCAATGATTTTTTCGTCTCTATCCGATGCAACTGCCAGTCCCCTATCAGTTTGTAGGAAAAATTCGTGTTGGTGTACATTTGGTGAGGGCCAGCAGTCTTCTGCTATCCATCTCCCTGGCCATATCTCCTTCTGGTGCGCCTTCGAAATGCCTGGAATCGTAAAAATTGGTTAGTTTTGGTACAAACAGATGCTTCTGGAAAAAAAATCAGATAAACCGATGATAACATACCATCCCTCATGTACACCCTCATCACAGGCTCGTCCATGACACCGGTTGGAAGGCCCTTTAAATGGTAGTCCCACCACCTCAAGCACTCTTTCAGGTGGTCTATACGAGGCCCCGGTGTGGCGATACCAGGCCATTTATGGGGCCACGGTCCAATGAGCGCTCGAACTGGGCACTTCAGATGTTCCACCATACGAAATATTGCATCGGTGTAGAGATCACAAAATCCCCCTACAAGAAACACGGGACACTTGATGGAGGCGTAATCCTCAGAAATGGAACCATGCTGCCAGTATGCATCACGTGACTGATGTGAGAGCCAAATGTGTATCCAGGGTTCACTGGATTTGTTTAGGCGATCCAGCCAAGCTTCCTTCCATCTGAAAGTTTCCCCAAGATGATATAGTTAAACAAATACATCAAGGGATTTTGTGCAAGATCTATCTGCACGTCAAACGTGGATTTCTCGATAGAGAAAAGAAATTTTTACTCCAGCTCGATTAAAACAACTACCTTGGTCCAAAGTTTTCAGGATAGGGAGGGCGTCCATTATATAGGAACATGACATGTGACCATGATAACATTTCCCTGCCAAGAATACAACCACCTCGGTAATGGATATCGTCAGCGTATCGGTCATCACTAGAGTCAGCAGATATGATTGTCTTCAATGCTGTAGGTTGTCTGGCAGCTACTTGAAGTCCATTGAATCCTCCCCAGCTTTTACCATACATACCTGCAATTTAAAATGGTAAGCCACAAAAATCGCCACAGTTTATATGGAAGCTCGCCCGCGTTATTCGCGAAAATAACGCTCTAGTCTCCTTCGCAGCTGTTGCTTAGGATGTCACGTAACGACGCTCCCTTAACGCGTTGCGTGACATCCACGAAAAGGGCTTCCAGACAGGCCGTAACACTGTCGAACCTTGAAACAATTGGTGTGAAATCGTTGATTGGGTATTCCAATCAATAAAGGTTCTTCTGAAGAAAGATTTACTTTTAAAATTCATTGAAAGCTCAAGGTCAAACTGTATGAGGGTGGTAGTAGAAGCTAAAGGGTCATGAGGGTCCCATGAGGGGTTCGTTCCAGTCATGAGTGCATCCGATTAAGTATCTTAAAACCAAAACGATAGTTATCACAAAAGCCAATCAAAACAAAGAGTAAAATCAAAAAAGCCAATCAGAACTCAAAGTAAGAACAAAGCAAACCGCCCGAAGGACTATGTCACCAAGTCACCTTGTAGGTTTTCTGCGAAAATAAAATAATTGTCTCTACAAGATCAGCTAACCTACCAACATTTCCCGTGCACCAAGGTTGTTGTGAAACCCAGTTGATGACGTCACAGCAATCATCTTGCTCTTGTTTTTCATATTCATCATAATAAAATCCTTCTGAGTCCCCAGATCCCCGCATGTCCACACGGGCACAAACATAGCCATGAGAGCAGAAATATGAATGAACCGATTCATCCCTCTGAGCCGTGTAGTCAGCGCGTCTGTATGGAAGAATTTCTGGAGAATATGACGATAACTTTAAAACAAACCAAAAAACAAACAAAGTTTCTTTTACAGGAGTACACACTGATAAGCGACAAATTCTCTTTTAAGCCTTTAATATCTCCCTAGTCGTAATATGTTTACAAGCACAAAAGAGGCAACCTCTTGCAAGCTAGGTATAACTAATGTTTTTACCTCACGCAAACCCAAGTGCATGTAGGCGCTGTATTCAAAATCTTTAGCCCATTGATAAGTTCATTTGCCGATATGTTTATTTACCTAAAATAGCCGGATATTTTTCAGCTTTTACAGATGTGTCCAATGTTTTATCCTCCAGTTCAGGGATCCACAGTTTAGCTGCCAGTCTGATTCCATCTCGCATTGGTATCCAGGCCGTAGGAATTCGATGCACAGAATATGACATAATGATTTGTGCAACTTAATTCTACAAATAGAAAAGGTATTATTCGTTATAATCAAAAGCGTGGACAAAGGGAAGGAGGAGGTTTAGATAAGTTATCTGAAACCAACCAGACAAGTTTATAAAGTAGTTATTTAGTCAAGAGAAGATGACGTACGAGAACTTAACCCATACACAATGATACTTTTGAAAGACTATTTCAAACCTCACGCCACGCTGGGAACTGAGTCAATTTATTTGTAGATCCCAAGATGACAAGACTAAATGATATCTTTGCGGTTGTCAGGGTTCAAGTGTCTTCCACTTCCCTCTCTCTCGTGTTTTGGTTAAGACACAAAATCAGCCCGAAAAATATCAGGCTTCGACGCGCTTCCTGAAGAATAATTAGGCGCTACTATCAACTGAGCTACGAAGCCACGTGCAAGGCAAATTTTAATAAGTTCTTCGTTCCTGTGAGCGAATCTGGTCACAATTTGAATGAATAAATTACACTTGGACTCACGAATTAGACGTATCCAGTCCTGTCTTCACTTAACAGTAAAGGCAAACGCGCGCGCGATGTGCGCATAACGGGTCGTAGGTGGGGGGAGATGGGAAAAAGGAACCTCTTGCGCCTAATTGTGCCAATATCGTGGAATTCATTTTTTTAAACGCGACCCCGTGAACGCGCGATCAAAATTAAGAATACACTTGGAACAAGTCGGATCCTGCATGAGACAGATGATTTTCTAGACCTCAATTACAAAGAAGCAACAGCTAAAGCAAAACTTGGAACTCTGTTTAAAAGAAGAGAAACTCTGTGTCAAATGCTATTTAGTCAGATCGAGACTACAGATGTCAACGAGAGACACAAACTTAATTCGGAACCTATTACCAGCTAAGCGTGGACCATGTAATCATGAACGGAGGCATAAAAGAGTTTACTCGCTGCCATTAATCACGGCTAACAGATTTAAGAACTCACTTATTATTATGCACCATGCAGCCAAGGCCACTTGATAGTTCAGATTTCATTACTATATTTATCGTATGTGTATAGATTATCCATTGTTTTAAAACATGTAATTCAGTCTCACGACTGCCAGATGTTATTTTAATAAACGACTTATCTCTCTCTCTAAGATTTCTAAATTTTGCTCACATGATTCATTAGCTCTTCAGTCTAAACTGAGTGTTACTACTCCTATTTTTGAATGAGATTACAGAATTCAAGACGAAAAAGGAAACGATAGAGAAAAAAAATCTAGGAGAAACCGAAAGAGAAATGAGACAAAGCAACTTTTGTTTTTTAAATGTTAAGGAAAAACGATCCCGCTCAAGTGACAACTTCCTATGCATCGTCACTGCACACTATGCTTCACCAGCTTCATAATTCACCCACAATGATCACTTGCGATATGTTAATAGGAAATGTTTGCTAAATAATGCTGTTCTTGCATACTTTAGAAGAAATCGTTCGGACAATGTCACGGGACATTTTTATCGCCCTGTGATCCAAAAACAGCTCGTGTACGACCCGCAAGGTCACCGGGAATTAGGTCCAACTGATTTGTTTATGAAATCTCCTTTCTTATCAATATCATAAACCTCCAAGTTGTCTTAAAAGGATCATGTATAATTTCATTTTCCGATGATTATTGTTTCTTATGTAAAAATTTCATATGCTAATCCGTCTCACAAGTGTTAAGATTATATTACCAGCGAGAATATATTCTGGCACGATAAGCAATTTTAAGGTTGCTCTCGACGAATGGATGATGTTCCTATAAAACTAGAAGTCTTTAGGTTCTATATTTGGTGGTGAAAGGATAATTTGAGTAAAACCAACAACGATATTAAAAGTGGTCGATACTGGCGAACTCAGGTCATTTTTAATCTCATTTGGCAGAGTATTCGCGTTCTTTCAATGCGTTCATTCGATTCCTTGTGTCAATAAAAGCGGAAAGATTACAAATACTGTTCTTTTGAAGAATTACTTTTACTCTTCACTTACCGTTATATCTTCGTAGAATTATTATGCTGCCAAACACGAGGGTACTTTAGACCGAAGCCGGCGGTCAACCACTAACAACTTCTTGTTTTTTAAAAAATTCTTACACGGTAAGAGCTTGGAGACGAAATTTGACCAGATGTTTTTCAATCTCACGCAACGCTACCGAAGAGCACGGACCTCGTCTACGACTGTTGGGTACCACGCGCACTATTTGGATACCGGTTCCAGAGGTGTTTTTTTTTTTTTTTTTTTTTTTTTTTTTTTTCATTTCCTAATTACATTTGAACTTCTTCCGTTCTCGTCAAGGGATCAACGTAACTGACAAAAACCGTGGAGTTTCATTCCGCATAGAACAAGTGATTTGAATCCCTTCAATTCATCGATCACTGATGTGTGACCAGAAAAACAACTTTGCAAGGGCAGAAGGCTCTCTAAATAATCTGCAGTTGTAAATCCTTTGCAGCTTGGAGTAGCGATTGAACACGTAGTCGAACAAAACTGTCCACGACTATTTGAGGCCCGCCGTTTCGAAAACCTGAACGGAAATCAACCTCAGAGTCAAGTGAATTGTATACTAGTGGAGTGTCTGGCGCCTGGTTCTTGAAAACTAAGTGGACTGAGCAAGACCTCCTCGAGATTACCCAAGTAAAATATCTGAAGTGAAAAATTAGCTGTACATTGACATACACCTAGTTGCAATAATTTGTCAAAGGAAAAAAGCGAACAGAAAAAACAATATACAAAAAAGCCAAATAGGACTGGATTTATTGGCATATAACACTACCCTCTGATTATAAGTGATATAGGCCCGGCAGCCGGACAATTTTCACAGAGTTCTTTTTGCCTTTTTTTTAATTACAACGTTGCTGCAATTTGGTGTGTATTTATACAGTAACTCTACACTCTAGGTATCAGCGGGTCAGGCCATTTGTAAACAGTATCAGCATGGAAAGAAAAAGAGAGATTTTTTGTGTTTGTTGTTGTTTGCGACCAAACGCACTCGTGAGACAACATCCTTCCGCAGCGACCAAAACTTCACTGATTAATTCATGCGTCAATCACAAACCCATCTTGCTCTCGCGCGAATCATTACTACGCAGGAACTGATCTCTCGCGTTTTGATTAACGCACGCGCTACTTGTGCTGACGTTGAAGCCAACTGTTTTCCAAATTGTTACCAATATCTGGACCCAGGGTGCGATTCATGGCATTTGAGCAAAAGTGGCGTTCAAATGCTTCGTTCCTCGCAAGAAAGAGGGTGAGATGGACGTGGAAAATCCTGCCTAGACTAGCGGACTAGATTGTTTTCAGAGTGTAATTTTAACAGGTTTGAAGGAGACTTTCTCTCGTAGTTTGTTGTTGTCGATAGAATGTCATTAAAAAAAAAATCTGTGCAAAAACAGAAGAGCTTGCTAGGTAGTCTTGGGTGATTTTGGCAGCCATAGGTTTGTTCTTAGCTTCGGAGGTAGGTGTAACCACCAAATGTCCCAAGCTATCTTTCTCGTCTTCAAAAATTGTGCATTAACAAAAAATTTGATCAGTTAGTAATTGACTAATGTTAATATTCACTGCAGAGACCTGATATGGGAACATAACCAATCAAATTGTGTGTATTATTCAGCTTATTAGATGCGATTTGATCCGCATAAGCGGTGGGGTCTCAATAGACCACGAAATTCTCAAATTCCAACTTACTTTGAGTACAAAATTTGTACTCTTTATATAATACATTGGCAAGTTGCCATCTAAGGATTATTTCGTTTTGTTTGGAGAATTTTGACTTAATCCTGTTTTTTTCTTCTAATATCACATGCTAATCCGCGTTTCTGATCGATTGTTTGCAACATGCATTAGATTACTTTACAGGTAAGAGTATTTCTCGGTCAAGATGAGCAAACTTTTACGAGGCTCCTCTCACTTTAATTTGTTAATGATGCTGACTTGGAGTAATAAACGCAGCTTTTCTTTGTTTAAACCTCATATTACCGCAAGATGATTTCTGTGGCGATATCACAAGACGTCGATATTGGTAACACTAGCACACAAGAGGCAGCTTTTATCATATCATATCACGCGACGCTTTCGCGTTCTGTTTACGTCGTTTATGGCACACACAACTGCTCAAGTTATTGCTCAGACTATATTTCTTAAGTCTACCTGTTACATGAAACTCACCCTTTCTGTCTCCGTAGACTAAATCCCTCTCCCAGACAAGACGGCGACTCGCTCAGCTGAAGCGCATGAAAATAATTTACGGATCTGTGAGGTTCTTTTGTTTCCGTCAGATTCTCAGACGATAAGAGCCTGGGGACGGAACTTAACCGGGTGTTTCACCAACACAACTCCTCAGAAGGATCAACTCGCGGGCCTTGTTACGCGGGCTTTCCGAAGGAAACGCCCGAGGTATAAATTCGGCTTGGTTTTTTTTTTTTTTTTTTTTTTTTCGCGTTTAGTCACAAAACGCAGTTCCATTACAACGCATGCGTAGAATGAACCTTAGAGGGTATGGTTTTAAGCAATGGCTGCCTCATTGGGCAATTCCTTGCTTGATGTACGCGAAAGAAATTCGATGGCTATTACGCTCAATATTCATACAAAGTCACACACCGTTCGCGGTAGACCCACACTAAAACTTGTCGAGCGTTTTGGAAACGGGTCGGTCCGCGAACTTTACGAGAGATCAGTCAATTTACGAGCGATCCTTTACGAGGGAACTTTCTATCGAGAAATATCAAGCGAGACCTGCTATATCAAACGAGCTATCTAACATTACATAACCGTGTTTACATTACATAACCGTGTAAATATTATGTTTACAATTACATAACCGTGTATTTGGACGTGATCAAGAACCCAGTAGAATACTAGAAGCTATCCTAAAACGTCTCAGAAGAAAGGGCAGAAAACTGAAGGAATTTGTTTTTGAGCGTATTCGTCCAAGCATACCGAAGTCCTCTTGACTACGTCGTTATGTAAAGGTTATAAGAGTTACAAAGAATGTTTGTAAGCTTAATACGAAGAGGGTAATATTAAATAAAGTGACACAACATGAGAAGAAGTATTTGTTGCATTGTTCTGTGAGGGTATATCAAAGGATAATTAAATTGGAGTGTAGAGCAAGTCGGTATTTATCCATGTTCTCTTGTAATAGAACTATGTGTCTTAATAAGAGTCAGACACACGTATCAAACTATTGTAAATTTCAACTGAGTTCAGATATCGAGAAAATCCCTGGTCCTACTCCAATGTACACTGATCCTAGCAAAACAATAACGGCACCATATAGCCAATCGAATGAGTTGGTATTAGAACAAAATTCAGGACAACAATGTGTTGCAATGAGTTTATACTCTTTGATTTACAATAACAAACAAAGAATCAATTCTGCTGATGATCTCGTGTCAATAATGAATATTGGAAATCGGTTGTATTCAAGTTTGTCTCAGTTGACCAGACAATCATTTTTAATGCAGACAGAATTACCCACACTTTTAAATGTGTTAGAGACTGACTATGAACTTCAATACAGTGAGAGCTACACTGGTACTATTCATCAAGAAGCTACAATAGAAGGATATCAGTACCGTACCTCCTTAGATAGAGTCTTTCAATCACTTATATCCGAAAATTTCAACAATTTTGTATTGACAATAGGATTTTCTGCAGTTGCTATCTATTGTAAAGATAATGTGGGCATTGAAAGTCCTTGAATTTCAACCTTTGGCATCCGGTAGGAACCTACTCCTATATGGTAATATATTATTTTGATTGTTGTCTAGTACCATACGCTTAATTCCAAAATGGCGGCCACCGCGGATGGTCTGGGCCGAGTTGACACGAAAGCGAGGCATCGAGGGCCAACGCTAAAGACAACAGAAGATGGCGTCTCTTGCAAACACTCTTGTAAACGGTCCTCCGTTTTTAACTGAAGACGATATTCCGGGAAGTTCATTAAACGGAAGAGATCCGAATCGTTTAAAAAATTCTGAGCTGAAGTTTTGGTTGAAATGTCGCGGGGATAGCTGTAAAGGATTATCGACCAAAGCGCAACTTTGCAAGCGGTAAGATATGTGTTTATGTTGACTTCAAATCATTGCTGTGGTTGCTATGGCCTTGAATCTTACTGGATTCATTCCTTTACAGAGTCAACGACTACCTCCAAGCAAATGTTGCTCATCTCCTTGTGGATCCGAATGAAAACTTTATCTACACAAGGCGTAAACAGAATCGTAACAGAGTCTGTACTGAGGACCAAAGAGCCGAATCCGCCGATTCCGACTTGTCGACTCCGCCGGACCCGGACAACACAAAGAACATCGCTTTTCCTGCGAACGGATGGGGTACATCCCTTGCCAAAGGCCCGATGTTTACTCGTGCAGAATTAGAGAAACATATAAGTGATTCTGGAAAAAAGCATCGACATGGTGAGCATCATTCGCTGCCCACAGGATTACAAAAAGCCAAGCAGTTTCTGGCTGATGAGTATTTGCATGAAATACAAACGCACTCTGATCAGAGGTATTTTTACTTCCGTGCTAAGTGTTTTCATAGTTTCAAGGTCAATGAAGCACCGCACAACTTAAAACTAGCACTCTGTATGGTGACAGGAAATGTGGAGTATGCCTACTGTGGGCCAAGTTGTGCTGCAGGTAAATCTGGTTTTTGCAATCACATTCTGGCTTTAATGATAAAAGTTTGCAAATACACTATTTATAATTGCAAAGATGTGCGAGATTTGAAGGATGAGGAGGATGAAAATCCAACCAGTGCATGCACATCAGCTTTGCAAAATTGGCACAAATCAAGACTAGAAGGTATCCGCTCCCAGCCTGTCATGGATGTGGTTGTTTCAAATCCTGCAAATAATGCTGAACGTGTCAAAAAAACAGGAGTAACTTGTCTTCTGACAGAAGCAAGAAAGGGAGAAAGTGATCAGAAGAGGAAGCTTGAACAATTACTACATTCTCTTGAGCAGCATAGCTCAACGCTTGGCATAACTCAAGTGGTTGATCCCTCGAGTATTGATACATCACCTGTTGTTGACACTCGTTTTGGGCAATGCCCAGTTGGGTCATTTGGATCGTATCAGCTTTCCTTTACTGAATCGAACTTCACATTTGTAACCTTGTTTGATGGATTTGACTGTACAGAACACTGCACAGCAAATGAATTCCCGGCCTACCCTTCGTTCCCATTGGATGATTTCTGCGGATCATTTCAGACCCCTGACAACCTCACTGTTAAAGAAATGGAACTGCTGAAGAGCTTGACTGTTGGTGTTATAGAGGCAAACAAAATGGAAGAGAAAACCAGAGAGCAAGCAAGTTGTGAGGAATGGATGCGAGAAAGAAAATTGAGATTCACTGCCTCTAATTTTGGAAAAATTTCTCGAAGACAGAGGAACCACACCAAATTTGTGGAAGATCTTTTAGCACAGAAGACATTTTCTTCAGCTGCTGTAGAACATGGCAAAAAATATGAGCCGGTGGCACTGAAGGAATATGAGAAACATATGAGGAAAATGGGAAAACCTGTAAAAGTGTTAAAGAGTGGACTGTTTGTTTCTCCGAAGGTTCCAATTTTAGGATGTTCCCCAGATGCCAAAATCATTGACTTGAGCTGCAAAGACAGGTTTGGGCTTGGTGAGGTAAAATGCCCATCGTCGAAATTCCATGTGACTCCCCTCGAGGCTTGTGATGACCCTGGCTTCTTTATGGAAAACAAAAATGGGAAGCCATCTTTAAAAAGAAGCCATGTTTACTACGATCAGGTGCAAGGACTTATGGGCCTATCAGGGGTACCATGGTGTGACTTTATTGTTTACACTAGTAAAGGACTAAGTGTAGAGAGGATCAAGTTTGATCAGGACCACTGGAACAACTTATGTGGAAAACTATGTGACTATTATTTCAAGCACTTTCTTCCAGTTGCTGCTCTGTAAAACATAGCCAAAAAATACAAAGCAGTATGTTACAAATTTTATTGTCTAATGAATACTCATGATCTATTCATATGAAGTTAGTCGTGATCATAAATGTGTAAAGAAATCAAGACTACATTTGACTCAGATAATTGACGAACCCTCTCTAACTTACCGCTAACTCGAAGTAATTTACATTTTCCTTCAGGTCATTTTCTATATGATTTTTACCCTCGATAACTCAAATCATTGCTATTTCCCTGAGGGTTCAAGTAATCGGGAGCCAACTGTAGTTTTTTTTCTTTTTCTTTTTTTTTTTATAGAAACCAAATACCCTGACAAAGACAACTGGCCTTTTATCATAATTTATTGTAATAATAAAAAATACTGGCAAATATTTCAGTGTCAGTTGAGACTATTGAATAGAAAAATATTTGCAAAATTACTATATATTGGATTGCAATTTTGTAATCATAGCGCAAGTCTCTACGGTGTCTACATCACGTGGCAATGCACAATTTCAACAAACATCGTGCTGTTAATTAGCCCAAAAAGTTATTTTACAACTTACTTCTTGAAAATTTTACATACAAAATAAAAACTAAAAGGATAAGAATTGAATTAAAAAAATCATTTGCCAAGAGATTTCAACACCAGGGCCTTTTTCAGTTTTCCCTCAAACATAAATATTTTGCTATCAAAACAAGTTATGCACTTATGATACTGTTCTGAAAATTGCATAGCATGGCACATACCGCCCACATTTGGTTTACAACCCCAAACAGGGTGAACTGTACTACACTATCCCATATATGAAAATTTTTAATTTTATTTATTGCCCTTTCAACATGAATCCGAACAGAAGCGATCGACTGTGTCTCAACAACTTCTGCTGCGCTCATTTGATCCTTGCTTCCCAAAAAAGGTGGAATATTTAGGGACACTCCAAGGGGTAGAAGGTCCTGAATAGTAAAGCCTTTATCGGCCATGACAGAATCTCCCCTATTAAAAGGCAGATTCAGAAATCCTGATCTTGTAACAATTTCCCTGTCAGAAATATGACCAGTGTATAGCTGGCTGATGAAGGTAATAGCACCTCCTGGTGAGATGCCAATCAAACCTTTAAGAGTTGTGTGGTTTTTGTAAGAACTAAAAAGTTCACTGTTAAGGCGTAGACTCTTGGGCATCTGGCATCGTACCTCAGTACAGTCAATAACGACCCTAGTTGAGGGGTATTTGTCTTTAAAGTCAGCAGGCATGCACAAATCCACTTTTGCTCTTGATGGCCACACTGGAATTACACTGAATTTTAAGAACATAAAATTTATCCATGAAATTATTATTCTGCTTACTGTTGTCTGTGAGACTCCATACAAGTGGCTTAAATGCTCCTCCTTGAACCCCTGCCTTAGTCTGCAAAGGGTCAAAAAGAATTCTTCCTTTGGGCTCAATTGGCGTGGCCTACCCTGCTTGGGAATATCTTCCTCATCCCTCTGACAGGGTGGGGAGGGGACATCACATGGTGAATCCGAGTGCCAGTAATTTATATTTTCCCCTTTCTTACCAGGATCTAAAAACGCGAAAACACTTTCTAAGACATTTTTGTTTGGGAACCCCGTATAAAAAGCGACATCCTTCTCCGAGGGCAAAAATTTCTCAATGCAGAACACTCTTGACTGCAAGGAATCGTTCCGGCGTTTAAGTTCCTCTACTTCCGACTGGAAATTGTTATTTGAAATAGTGATTTTACGGATTTCCCCGACAAGCCGTTCATTTTCAAGTTTAAGTTCGCAAATAAGAGCTTCCAGATCCTCAGCTGGTTCTTCTACTGTGGTGCTTGCCGAATCTGCTAGTGTTGACGGGGAGGAAGCGCGAGATTCTTGAAATGTCACTAGATCGCACGTGGAACAGTTGTCGACTCGTGCTGGCGCAATTGTCGTCTCCTGTGATTTTGTCGCGGTTTTTTTCAAAATCAGAGTTCTTTTCCTCGGTGATTTTCGCTTGATCGGCGAACCCTGCTTCCAAGGAAACAAAGATGGGACTGCCATGGATTTCAAACTCTTTTTACGGCCTGTGAGTGACGGTAGATAATCTGACGATTTGAAATGTCGCGAGCAAACTCTCGTGTGTTCTGTCACCTTGAAATCTTTACCCTCATCTCTTCGAATGGCAACGATCCACTTCATAAATAAATCTCTATTTTCAGGAAACTTGTGGTAAGAGATCTTAATACCATCTTCTTCGTAAACTTTCTTAGTGCAGCCAGGGACACAGCAATTTTGCGGCATGATGCGCTTTTTCTTTGCCATTAATTTACATACGTAAACACGAGACTTGGCCCTCGATGCCTCGTTTTCATGCTATTCGATCCAGACTCTCATCGGCCGCCGCCATTTTGGAATTAGGAGTATAACAACATTCATTACACTCCAGCGGACAAAAATAAACACAAGCAGACTTATTCATGACCGGCAATGACGAAATTGCGTGACGACTGTAACAGTGGCAATATGGCAGTCCCCTAAATATAACTCCAGATGTGCGATATTGAAAGCCCGAGTTCACGCAGCTATGCGTCTAGTTTGAGTATAAAACGAAGCTTGCTGTGAAAGTCTTTTGTCTCAGCGATCGTCAGCAGCCGTAATAGATCCCGATCTTCGCGCTGCCAGCGATTGTTCCCCAGGAAGAGAGCCTCTAGAGAGAGTTTTATCGAGTTTTCCCTCGTCCGTCCAAATATTTGTGAAGACAAGAAACCTGTTTTTACACTACTCTGATCCGAAATATGATGGCATTCATATGATTTGAAGAAAATGAGCCTCTCCTTCACCTGTTGTATTCTCCAGTGAATTGTTAAGTTTTAGGGACATTTGACTTCCTCCACTTAACCCTTTGACTCCCAAGATCTGATTGATGATTCTCCCCTTTAGCTGCGACACATTTCCTCGTAAATTAGTTAAAAGAATTTGGTGTTTGATCAAGTCAACTTCTACCTAATAAGTTCTAGTATTCTCAACACCATTTTGTTGGATGATGTTTGGATATGATAAGGAGAAAATAAAAGTTAATCACCCCTGAGAGCGAAAAGGTTAACTGGCTGCCATCAAAATGCAAAGGAACAAACCCTTTCAATAACACCTCTAATGGTGTTAGTGAAGAGGGAGTAATCAAGCTGTTTTGAACAAGTGGGAATGAAATTTAGTCAAGCTTTCATTTTCTTTCTCTTTCATATATATTAGTATTGTTTGTAAAATGTACCTTTGGCTTAAGAGAGTATTTAAAATTAAAATAACATGTATTGCACACAATGGCGGAGCAATGTACTTTTATAGCAAGTAATTCAGTGTTAACAGCTGAGTTGAAAATGTAAATTAGCCACCTCAGAGAGTAAAAAAGCTGACGTTTCGAGCGTTAGCCTTTCGTCAGAGCGATTGAAAAAGGGTTAACGCTTGAAACGTCAGCTTTTTTACTCTTTACGGTGGCCAATTTACGTTTTCAGCTCACTCACTAAATTACCCGCTATACTCTCCCACCGACACAGCACCACAGTTCCTTTAGAAACTTACCCCCTTTATTCAATGTACTCTTATGGTCTAGTTTCAGCATATTTATGAAAGATAGCTGCTGTACATATAGAACGTTTACGCAGAATCCCAATCAATATTATAAGACTTCAAGAAGTTATTTGTATCATACCATAAACATACTGTGTAGCTCAATGAGTCTTGATTGGCTTATGTTGCATATCAATTTAGATTAGAACACTGATCATTCAACTCACTCTCCACTATTAATATGAATTAATAATTAATCTATAATTAGTTATTAATTAATTATTATGTTAGATACTTTGATGTTTAATTGTTATGTTTAATACTATGACAAGTAACCATTTATTTAAACATAAAATCGTTCTATTTTCTTTGTCCATGTCTTATCAAAACATTCTTCATTGCAATGCCAAGCTGTCAATTGACTTTTCAAATGAAAAAACTGTTCATCACACCACATCTCGCTGGAAGCCTGGACTCTAGTGTCCCATCTAGTGTGTCCACTGTCCTCCTGCTCAGCAGTATGACCTTCTTTCTTCATCATTACTTGCCCTTGTATGTGAACCTTGGCTGAGCTTGGATCCCTTTCTTTAATTGTGAAAGTTTCTGTATTAATCTCATCATAAGTGGTGTTCGTATCTTTCAGATTATAACATCCATTGTCCAGGGTGACAGTCAGTTTGTAATTGTCAGAGAGCTGGCCAATTTCAAGATCCCTTGAAAAAGAAAATAAAAAGTGATTACAGCAGGAGTAGGAAGAGAAGGAACCTTCAGAGCAACAAGAAGGATTGTTACCCTACCCTCCCCATGCTCCCCACTTCTCCCCCCACCCTCCCAAATGCAATCCTTGTCTATCGCAAGTAACTCCCCACATTTTCATCAGGTCTCTTAAAGGGCTTAGAGCAATTACTGGGGATTTTAAAGTATCCTAACTGATAGTTTTCTTGATCATTTAAAGAGAAGGAATCTGGGTAAAGGCTGAACACAACTACTGTTATCCCTCTAATAAAGCCTTCTGATAGTCCAAAGATTTAGAGCTAAAAATCTGTACATTCTAATATCTTCAAGGAGTGCATGGAATGGTGAAATTTTCATTTAGCAGCAATTAACCTTATTTCATTACAGTCTTCTCACTTTTATTCCTAATCAGGAGTTATGAGATTACCTTCCCTTATGAGGCATCCTCTGCCATTCAACAGGAAAATTGATGTGTTTATAGTCAGGCAATTCAAAGTCTTTTAGCTGAGCATCCTTTTCACTAACTTCTTGATTTGCAGTTCGGATAGGAATTACTAGCTTGCTCCTACTTCCTGTCTGTATTGATAGACATGACACCTGTGGAGAAGGCCAAACATATGGCCAGTGAACTGAGGAGAGAGACAGGCGAAGTTTATGTCCAGCAGCAACTGTGTAGGCTGTAGAGTCAAGCTTTAACTGTGCATGATAGTTTTTATTAGACTGAAGAGGCTGAATATCTTCTGATGAATGACCACTTATATGGGTCAAATTCAACACTCCTGCAATAAAGACAAATTGTAATGGAGATAAAGCACCTGGACTTCAAACTTTTGCTCAGTTTGTGGGGAGTTGGACTAAACTGTTGCTTGACATTCTGCCCAAGAGAGCTAGTTAAACAGACATCTGATGAAAGGCTAATGCTTTAAATGTCAGCCTCAGAAATTCTCTATGGTGGTCAACATGGTTGATGGTACCCCTCCAGCTTCAAAGTTTCTTTTGAACTTTATCCCCTTCAAAAAGCAGTAACATAAGTAAATTATGGTACAGTGGCATACAGAATAATTGTTTCCATCTTTCAGCCAAGTAATATTCCCATATTATCATAAAATGTTAGACACCTCCCATAAATGGCTGGATCTGTTTACAGGCACTCTGTGATTTGCCAAGAATGATCAAGTTACTCTTTCAATTAACCTATAAAATGCATGACAAGGAGTGCTCTAATCAGATTTGTGTTGTTCACTATTGCTGTGAAAGACTGAAAGAATTATTCTTAAAAAGCTGGAAGTACTTGGTTCTTCTTGGTCTGTTTGTTTGATTCATTCATTGAATTGTTTGTCTGGAAGGTAGATAGTATACCTCTTGTGATTAGTGCAGATTCGCCGTTTGGAAACACATCACATAGCCTGGCGGCTACCAGAGCACAGGGCCTGTCAGAACTTAGCTGCAGATGCACCTCAGGAAATCCCACTATAGCAGTAGGTTTATTGAGCGTCACTGTCTCCCAGCACTCAGACAAATTGTCTTCAAATCCCTGCTCAATTGGCAGTTCATCGAGACTAAAAGCCAATGGCAGACCACCCCATGATCCACTAAGAAATGAAGATTTGACAAATACATTGGATTCCACTGATTCTTGGCCAGTGGCTTGTTCATAGTTCTCTGTTGCTAGTGCCAGTCTTTGGTCGTTGTGTAGTATGAATTCTTGTAGCTGAACATTGGGTGAGGGCCAGCAGTCTTCGGCTACCCACCTGCCTGGCCAAATATCTTCCTTGTGTGCCATTGAAATTCCTTCAAGAGAAGAAAGCAACAAGTTTTCTCACCTCCAAAAAATCAACATTCCAAATTCTGTATAAACAAAAGGATTTTTGCTTCATAAATTTGAATAGCTGGCTCGTAAAAAATAAAAATTGACCAAAGGACAGTCAAAACTGTTGGGAGCCTAAGACATCATACCATCCCTCAAGAACATCCTTATTAGAGGTTCCTTCATGACATCAGTGGAAAGGCCCTTTAAATGACAGTCCCACCACCTGACACACTCTTTAAGATGATCTATCCGAGGCCCTGGTGAAGAATCTGCAGGCCATGCATGGGACCATGGCCCTATGAGAGCACGGACAGGACAGTTAAGATGTTCCACCATGCGGAATACTGCATCAGTGTAAAGATCACTATATCCACCAATCAGAAACACAGGACATTTTATTGAGGTGTAATCCTCAGCTATGGAACCATGCTTCCAGTATGCATCGCGTGACTGATGTGAAAGCCAAATGTGTATCCAGGGTTCACTGGATTTGTTCAGACGATCTAGCCACATTTGTTTCCATCTGTGAATTTAAAGAACATAATGAAGTTGATTCTGATATATATATTTTTTGAGTCAGTATACTTCTTGCTTATTTTTTTCCAGCCCCTGACAATTCCCAGATGAGATCAACTTAGGCCCTACATTTATAGGAATACCAAAGACATTGGTCTTTAAAAAAATCACTAGGCTGAGCTAACTTTTTATAAACCAGTACAAGCTTATATCTTATTTAAAGGAGTACCAGTACGACATAATTTTTTTACAAAGGGGGAGACTAGGACAAGAGGGGGGCATCAAGACATGAGGTGAGCAGGTAGCAAGAAGAAGACCACCAAGGCTGAAAAAGAGAGGTTATGAAGAACTGGGTGGAGGGCATAGAATGAAGTGGTCACAGCTATAAAGGGTAGAGCAAGCTTGAGATAGCAATGGAACAGCCCTATTCTCTACTAAGAAAACAAAACCATAATAATGACTCTTTTCAATAGCATGCATGTTGAAAGCAAAAAAAAGATTTTGAAAAAAACCTTGGGCCTAAGCTGTCTGGATGAGGAGGACGTGCATTCCATAGGAACATGATGTGAGCCCAAGATAACATTTCCCTGCCAAGGACACAGCCACCACGGTAATGAATGTCATCAGCATATCGGTCATCAGTAGAATATGTAGAGATGATGGTCTTGAGTGCACAGGGTCGTCTGGCAGCTACCTGAAGTCCATTGAATCCCCCCCAGCTTTTACCATACATACCTGACAAAAACAAAATTAATTGTAAAAAAGCAGCACACAGTGGCAGCCAAGTATATCACTGATGTTCTTTCCACATTTTTACATTTTTTGTGATCTATTACTATGCAGGCCCACAGCAACCTGGAATTTATTTGTTTCATATCCACATTTGTATGTAGACATTTGCTAAATGTGTAAAAGATTTTGGAACTAGACACTTAAATGGTTGAACCATAGTTACAATCTTAGCTGGTGCACAAGGTGTGGCTTTAAATAATGGACTTTACCAACATCTCCAGTACACCATGGTTGCTGTGAAATCCAGTCAATAACATCACAGCAGTCATCTTGCTCTTGCTTTTCATATTCATCGTAATAAAATCCTTCTGAGTCCCCAGATCCCCGCATATCCACACGGACACAAACATAGCCATGAGAGCAGAAATATGAATGGTTCTTTTCATCCCTTGCAGCAGTCCAGTCAATGCGGCGATATGGAAGAAATTCTAGGGAAGGAAAAATTTTAATAGCTGAAATTTGACCTCCTATTTGCAGAAGACATTTTACAATGTGCTGACAAATTGAATGCTTTGAACAGTGCTTAAAAATCCTGACCTAGTACGGCTGGATATTTTCCTTCTTCTGCAGGTAAGTCAGTTTTATTAATTGGTTCTGGAATCCACAGTTTAGCTGCAAGTTTGGTTCCATCTTGCATTGGGATCCACTCTAAGGGGATGCGCTTCACAGTATAGAACATATTGGTTTATGGAATGAAGATTCTAAAATAACTCCTGAAAGTGATTAACATATAAGTTCTCCCTATAATATCCATACATCATTCAACTAACAAGTAACGAGAACACTCAAACTAATCAGGTAGAAGTTGTTATCTTGACTAAACATCAAATTCTTATAACTTATTTACAAGGAAATGTGTGCAGCAGCTAGAGGGGAGAATTAACAATTAAACCTTGGGAGAGAAAATTTCGGTGAAGGTTAAAGAGGTGTTGGAGGGAGGGGGGGTTGGGAGAGGTGACCTCATCAAATGTCCAATTTCAGGCAAGGGCTTAGTAAATGAGCCAGGCCTGCATTTCTCAGATTGATTGAGTGGTGAATCATATTGGATACAATGCAGCAATAGAAATAAAATTTGGTTAAAAAATATATCTTTCAAATAAAATGTTTAAAACAAACATTGCAGGAAATCAATTGAGTCCATAAATTTGAGATCTAGACCAACAAGTTGAATATATTACTATATACGTAATCAAATGGTTGCGAGATCAAGAGCATGCAAAATTCAATTTTCAGAGAAAAAAAAAAGCACTCACCTTTACGATGGCTCTTTCACCTTTCTTTAGTCTTTGAATTATTTACTTCAGCTTATTTTTGGCAACTTTGCTCAAAATAATTTGATTACATTTACGAAATGTCTTGATTTGAGATTACAATATCAGAAATCAGAACGACCAATGTCTTGCTGAAATTCTCGGCTGAGAGGATATAAATATCGCCAACTGCTCCGCTGGTTTTTAGCAAAAGTGAAGCATGTTTATCGGAGAAAACAAAAGTACCAGAAGTAAAGTATTTTCACTGGTCAGTTTACTTCCAAAGATCTCGATCCGATTATAATGGGGTGGAGACTGGAAACCACCAGTTCTCTGTAATAACCATTCTCGTTCCCAGAGCCACTCGAGCACTTTGAAGACCAGATGAAGGTGTAGTGTCATGTTGAAATAGATATTTTCGTATCGCGAAATCTATGTTTGTTATGCTCCTGTGAGCTAGATTAAAATATATGTGGGTGCTATGAGCCACAAATTTGGTTAACAGAAGTAGGCTTTGGCCATCCTTGGCAGCATGTCTTCATGGCAGACTTATGAATGCCTTATTTTGTTTGTCATTGCCTTTTCTTATCTTTTCATGTGTCCTGGAAGTTTCTCTGGAGTGTTTAAGTACACCAGAGCCTGTAAGCATGTTCTCAATAGCGCTGTGGTACTAGGGGTAATGCCTGCGAGAGGTCTGTAAGGGGGCCTGGACCCTGGCACACTCACAAGGCTCCACCGCTCATGCCGCTGGGCCAATCAGAAGTCTGCTCACAGGATATGTACAATACAAACTGACAAAGTATAATAGAGCCTCTGCCATTGTCAGTCAACTCATTGCTAGTAAGGATACTTTTGTGTCCTGGCAAACAGTGCCCTTTATTGCTGACATTGATAAAGGCAGTGAATTTTTTCTTTATGTTGTGTAAAACAAGTTGAGATAGAGCATACTGAACGCATGAAAAACTAACAGTCTTGTTTTATTTATATCTTAATAATCTTGAAGATCACAGCACAATTACAATCATTAATTACATTAGAATTTCACTTGTTGCTGGCTTTTTGTCCGTCAGTCTTTTTTCCTGAAATACAAAGATACGATAATCAGTTTATTTCAAAACAAACACAAGACGTGTTGCCTTAACCTTTGTACAGTGCTGTCCAATCCTGATAAAGAATCCACAACCCATGAACCAAAGAATACCCAGGGGTTCATTATAAGAAAGGTCAGGTAAGGAAAAAGAAATGGACTTAATGTTGACCTGTGAAGGCTGTGAAAAAAATTTGTGTGGTATAAATGAATGCTTAACTAACTTTTATCCTTGTGATTCCAAGACAACTTGATGGTTGAATCTTGGCCTTATAGCATTCAGAAAAGAGCATTTTGTTTTCAATAAGGATATTTTAGCCTCCTAGGTTTATAGCAGCCATAAGTGCATTGTATTTCATAGACTTGTTTGTTTGGTTGTTTATTCCTTTCCCACATTAATCAGATCAACATTCGTGATCTCAAAGGGTTGCAGTGAAAAAAGATCCTTCATTAGACATTCAAACACTTGAGTAGAGCTAGCAATGCGTAGATATACCACTCATTTCAATTCATTCAGAATAAATTAGAGTCAATTTTAGGCAGCAATTACCTTGATTCTGTTTCTTCCCGCATCCTTCGAACCTGTTTCATACCTACACGTTTGGCAAACCTAAAAAAAAAAATGTACAGGAGTTACTTGCACAATATGGTACAAGTATCATAATTTTCCGAGTAGAAAGGAAAGTAAAACATTCCAATGGACAGTTTCAATAGTGAAAATCTCATGGTGGAAATCTATGTGCAAGAACAGCTATGGCACCCCAAACCCTCCCCCCTTCCCCCCCAACCCCTTTCTTTCACAAGACACACTGACTTACCAATCATATAGTACAGGACAGTACTGACTGATGTAGATAAATAGCAGGACAGGGTTTGGAGAAATCCAGACTTCATCAAGCTTGTTAGCCATCGCCACAGTCATAAGGTGAGCACATCTTGCTGGTTGCATTCTCTTACTGTCCCGTTGAACTGTTGCTTTCTCTTTAAATTGCTACACAGACAAAATTTACTGTTTCAATTTAGTTAACAAATGAACCCCCAAGCTCCCAAGAGTTAAAGAAAGAAATTTCTGTGCACCATAACAGTACATATCCACATAGAAAAGTGATGAGAAGAACTGTTATGTCCACTGAGGAAAATGTTTAATTCCACCCCATATTCCCAGAGACTCAACCACAAAAATATTTAAAGCACAAAGATAATTGACATGGAGATCTTAAGAGTACAAGGTTTAACAGGCTTGTCTGCAAGGAAAATTTTTACTTCTTACTACCTGAAAAAAGAGATTATCTATCTTAAAACAACAGAGAGAGAAGAAAAATTCTTGGTTGAAAGAATACCCTTTGCTGTTGCTTGAATCTTTCAATTGCTCTCACAAAGGGCTAATACTTGAAGTGTTAGCTTTTAAACTCTTTATGGTGGCCAATTTTAGTTATCAACTTAGTTGATAATACTAAATTACCCTGATTCTTTCATACCTTGTTTACATCTTCAGTGAAGGCATTTGCCACAACATCTGTTTGAACAGGACCAGGGCATACCAGTGTCACACCAATGCCATGTTCATTCACCTCCATGCGTAATGTGTTGTAGTAACCCTGGCAAGTCACAACAGTAACCATCAATAATCTTTACCTCAAGAAGGATAACTTTAATTACAAAATATGCACCTGTTAAAGGTTGTTATAACCAATTATTTTTTCACAGCATTAATCACCAGCTAGTCAAGGACAAATTTCATAAATACCAAAACAAACAAACCACCCCCATGAAAGTAATAACCCTAAAAAGTTGACAAAAAGATTTCCTCCTCTTAGCAATTCCTAGAGGAAGCAACCCTTCAACCTTTTGTTGGGCTAAGGACCCTTCAACACAACAAAATATTATTTACTAAAGGAAACCTGATATGGTGCCAAGTGATAAGAACAGATCATTTCTGTTTTCTCTTTATGTGTAGGCCAGACAAACTACAGAACTATTAAGCCAAACATTACTAGATTCTTGAACTTTGATCGAAGCTGTTGTAGGTTTGTTAAATGCAAGAAGAAGCAACCTGAAAGTCCCAATCCCTGTGAAAAAATTATAAAATCTAAAAGTACAAAAAGGCTCTTCATTTAGGTAATTTTTGGTTACCATGATTATGTACAAACCTGAATAGCATATTTAGTTGCACTGTATGTAGCTTGTCCTGGAGAACCTGTAAAATAGGTGTAAAATAAGGGGAATAGTTAGAACAACAACCAAGAGCACAGTAACCAATAATTATAAAAATATAATATAATTATATAAATATAATATAAGATAAAAATCCAAACCTTGACTGACAATTCATTTGTGACTCTTATGCAAAAATATATCTCAAGTGAACAACATTAACAACTGCTATACAGGTTATCATGATTGTCACCATGGGTCCTCTTTATAACAATATTTTCACTGCTGGCATAAGATCATCATTTTCCTTAATGCATCTACCTCAGTAATATAAAAAGTAAAAATTGTGACACAGTGAGTAATAATATTTATCACATACCAACTTTGCCAGCCACACTGCTTGTAACAATGATCTGTCCTGTTTTCTGCTTGATCATGTGAGGTAATACTACCTTGGTCAATGAAATTTGTCCAAGGACATTTATAGTCATCATTGCTTTGTCAACCTCCACACCAGGAGTGTCCAGTACAAGACCACGCTGGGATCGGCCACTATTGTTGACCAGAATATCAATCTGTAAGGTGAAAAGTTCTATTTCACACAGGGAAGATATGTTTTCAAGATACATTATTTTGTAATAAAAGGGAAAGAGGAAAGCAAAGTCTCTGCAACCTATTTCTCTTAATGGTTTTTTGCAAAGACACTGAGTGATATGGTGTAAATAACATTGATGTCTGCACTCTCCCTAGAGGGGTTGATAATTGAATTAACATGCCAACCCTAAAATTGCAGGGGCAGATCCAGGATTTTTCTCTGGACATTTTGCACCACCAAGGAATGACACAACTGATGTCTGCTATGACGAATAGAAGGACTTATGTTTAGAATGTTAGTGCCAAACTGCCATTTAACATGGGCTTAAATATCAATTCTTCAATTTTTTCTTCCATTTTACTTAACATCAATAAATCACAAAGTTTTTATCTTCACAACACAAGTTACATAAGAAAACTGAAGGTCATCTAAGGTGGGGTGTGCACCCCCTGCACCCCTCCCCTCAATCTATCCTTGCACATTTACAATGAAAACCTGCCTTTAAGACCTGCACTTAGTTGAAAAAGCCTTGGAAAGAAAGCAAATTTATTTTTGAGTCCTGTAATTTGGAAAAGGGAGACTACCAGTAGTATACATTAATATGTTGGACTGCATATCAAAACCCCTGGATTCAAGTTTTAGTGAGGTCACTGTTTTGTGATCTAAGGTAAGCCCCTTTCCTCTCACAGTGAGTCTCCCCACCCTAAAGTATAAATGGATCCCTGCAGACTTGCAAGGTAACCTGAAAAACTCATGGAGAAGAGAGGTAACCCTGGGATGGACTAGCATCCTATCTAGTACAATGTAGAAATACTCCTTATTGCTTCATGCTTTATAAATCATGTGATGCTCCTGCTTGATGGGTCTTCTGCCTCATAATCTATCTTTTTCTTAACTAATAGTGTATTCCTAATTGGTGATATAGCTGAAAAAGTCCACAGTAAATTTATTTCATTTTAAATTATATCAGATCACATTTTGAATCATATTTAATTCACTGACCCTCTGAAAGTGATCCATAACAGCTTGAGCATGGTCCTTATGTGAATTATAATCTGTGACATCCATTGCAAGAACTAAAACATCAATAGCAGGTGACTTCTCCCCTGCCAGAACTGACAAAAAAAAATTTTAAAAATTGCAGTTTATCAAATAGCACCAATATCAGTTTCAATGCGATGACTTTGAGGTCCCATCCACATTTAGATAGACAAATTTGAGGTTAAGTGACAGAGAAATTATGTGCTTCAGGCTTTTAACTTGCATTTGAAAAAAATTAGAGAAAAATTAGCCTGAAAAAATGCAGGCTTCTTTGCCTTCTTTTTCTGTAATTTCTTTCATTACCAGTAATTTTAATTCACCTGTAAGAATTATTTTATTATTTGTCTTTATTTACATGTCAAATTGTATTTCTTTTATATTATTTGTGTTCAGATTTCTTGAGAGGAGGCAAAACCTTCCTGACTTAGTTGGTAGGCCAAGTTGATAGCAACATTCAACCACACTTGGAAGTCATGGGTTTCAATCTGGTTAGGTTTCTTTTTCTGCTGCTTCTTCCATTGCAATTTAGCTTAGAGGATCGCACTATTACTTTTTATAATCCAAAGGTCGCGTTGGCAAGCACCCCACCTGACTCAAGAGAGGGTAAGGTCTATAATCTGTACCAACCTAGAAGAACTATGATATGAATAAACGAAGTGCCTTGTTTGGGATTAGAAATATATAATGAGCTTACCAATGCATTTTGCCTTTACCCTTTCTAGTTCTTCCTTTCTTCTTGCAGACAGCACCAATTTACAGCCGCATTTTGCCAGCTCATAAGCCAGGTTTTCCCCAATACCACTCGACGCCCCTGTGATCCAAACCACTTTACCGCGAAGTTTTTCCTCCGGTTTAGCCCCAAACTGCTCGTGGAATTTGAGAATAAAATCACAGTCCAGGACAAAGATTATAATCAGAATTACAGCGAGGATTGCTACGAAGAGGAACATGTTTGGTGGGCCTAAAATGTGTCTTTTCTTCCGCAGGTAAGTTCTATCTTCCCTCGTGACGAGTGATTGTGATGTACTGATCTATGTACGGGAGAGGGAATTTTCGGCTTAATGTTAGTGTCTGAGCAACTGCGCACCTACCCTTCCCCTAACCTAACATTACCTCTAACAAAGTTGTTATCATTGTTGGTGTCTTTCTGTTTTTTCTGCTTTCTATTTATTTTTTTGTCTTTCCCTATTTTTTTTTCTATTTTTTTTGTTTGTTTGTTTATTTATTTATATATTTTTTAACATTGTAGCTGGCTTAGGGGAGGGGTAGGTACGCAGGTGTCATATACTGATAGAAATATGCAAACGACGTCAGGCCTGTCGTGACATTATGCTTGTTCTTATACGACGTACACAGATCTTAAGTGAAAAGCAAGATGGCGCAAAATTGTACGACGTTTCTGTAACGTCGTTTTTGTTAATAATAACCGAAATTTTAGCTTCTTCAACCATTTTGAGATCATGAGGACCTTGTTAACTTCAAGATTTTTTCTAAGAAATGATTGTTTAGCCTTGCGGTGGAGGAGAAATGTACCACCTTTAGTACAGCAGACAAAATTCACTGTGACAACTTGGAGTCCATTAGCTACAGCTTTTAATTCTCCCCACCCTAAACAGGACCGGTGTTTAGAGCCAACTGGTCTTTTTAGTGTGCAAGAGTTGACTAGTTCGTCTGGATTTTTAGTTCTAAAAAATCGAGCCTTGTCAGAAGGTGTTAAAATTGTTAACGATGTGTTGGAGTCAAACCCAACCCCTCGGTTAGTGGGGCTGTTTGATAAGCTGTCTGATACTCTGTGTGCCGCGGCTGATTTGGCAGAATTTGTGAGATTGACACATCCAGATGATCAGGTTAGAGGAGCAGCAGAAGACACTTCGAGGGGCATAAGTGGCTATGTGGAAGAGCTTAACACCAATCCTGGTCTTTACCATGCATTGAGGAAGCTTCTCTCCACTGACACACATCAGATGAATGAGGAAACAAGAAGAGTTGGGGAGTTATTTTTATTTGATTTTGAACAGAGTGGTATTCACCTAGAGGAAGTGAAACGCAGGCATTTTGTTGAGCTTCAGGAGGCTTTGTTAGTTATTGGTGCACAGTTCTCTCATGCAGCAGCATCTCCTGTTCAAGTTCCAATCTCCCATTTGCCATTGGGTGATGAACTTGCTCGTATCTACCCAGTGGATGGTGATCATGTCTTTATAGACTCTGCATTTCTGGACTCTAATAATGAGAAGTTACGTGAATTGGCATATTTGACCTGCTTGAAGCCAGTAGAATCACAATGCAAAACTCTGGATTTACTTCTTACCTTGCGCCATCAACTTGCTCAGCTGGTAAACTATCCAAGCTATTCTCATCGTGCATTAACTGGAACAATGGCAAAATCTCCAGAAAATGTCATGGACTTTTTAAAACAAGCTGCAAATGTACTTCTCAAACCAGCACATACGGAAATGCAATTATTGACCAGGTTGAAGAGAGAGATGACAAAAGATCAAAACTTAAAGGAAATCATGCCATGGGATCTGCACTACTACTCAGGTATAGCTAAATATCAATCAGCAAAGATAAACAGTTCATCTATATCAGCATACTTTCCACTCGGAGCTTGCATGGATGGGTTGGATTTGTTATTCAGGGCTCTGTTTGGAATAACATTAGAAGCTCAGGAACCAGCTGAGGGAGAATTGTGGTCTTCTGATGTCCAAAAATTGGGTGTGGTACATGAGACAGAGGGACTCCTGGGTTACATCTACTGTGACTTCTTCAACAGAGCAGAGAAATTACAGCAAGATTCACACTTTACTATAAGAGGTAGGATACATGTAGAAATACAATGACTTTAGCAAATGCATCCTAGATTTTTAAGATTTAGTTACTTAACCAGTGGTTTCTGAAATACATGAAGAAATGACATGAGTATCTGTTTACAATGGTAACAACCGATGTAAATTAAAATCAAACAAAGAAAGGACAGCAAGAAGATACCTGGCAGTTAGGATACTTATACAAAGTGACTTATAGATACTCTAAAAATCTGACTCATAATTGACTGGTGAAGAAACTTAAATGTTAATGCTGCACAGAGATTGGAAACTAGGAAACTTTTGAAAGACATGGCTACAATTCCCTCTCATAAGTCTTTGATTTCTTGTAGGTAGCTTAGAATCCAGCTGTGTCTATATTGTGACTATTTTCAAGTTTGTTTCCATCTTGTATTTCTCAATATCTGTGCTCAAGAAATTTTGCCAAATTATTACTTTCAAGGCTTTCTGAGCTTTGTCTGTTTAGTGTAGAAAAGTGTGAGCTCAGAGTGATAAATCAGAATATTTTGGCTGACAACAGAGCTAACACACTGACAGCAAGAAGTACGCCATACATGTATATCTACTTCTGTTAGCTAAACTTGTGTTAAGCTGTTAAGCACATCTCATTCTTTAAAGTGACTGCAAAGAAGCAGTGCATCTGATCCTTGATGACTCCTTCACTGGAAGAGAGTCTTTCAGGAAATTACTGGTACTAATTAATTATTTAATTATATAATTGCAAAATAAATTTTTTGTTCTATGAAGTAATGAACACAGCAAGCTAAAGTTTTGCTTTCATGTTGTATCTGTGAAAGTTTATTGTACTTAGTGCATTAGTATTGTCTTTATCTCACTTCTAGGTGGTCGAGAACTTGATGATGGATCCTACCAGCTTCCCATTGTTGTTGTGGTGTGCAACTTTCCTTCCCCTGGGGTGTCTTCCCCTCCACTTCTCAGTCATAGCATGGTAGAAAACTTGTTTCATGAAATGGGTCATGCGATGCATTCCATGCTGGCCCGCACTCAGTATCAACATGTGACAGGTACCAGGTGTTCCACAGACTTTGCTGAGGTTCCTTCAGTACTCATGGAGTACTTTGCATGGGACCCAAGAGTGTTAATGAAGTTTGCCCGTCATCATAAAACTGGGCAAAGCCTGCCAGAGGAATTTGCACAGCGCCTCTGTCAAGGGCGGACAATGTTTGGAGCTTTGGAGATGCAGCGGCAGGTTCTCTATGCAATGATTGATCAGATTTATCACAGTAAGCACCCATTAGATGGATCTACTACAGATATTCTTGCACAAGTTCAAGAGAAGTACACACTGATACCACATGCACCAGGTAGGTTGCGTGTGTGTGTAGGTTTTAAAAACAGACTTAAGTGGCTTTTATTGTCAGCAATAGTCCCAATACTTTAATTTCCAATTGAAACTTTGCTGTGATTGGTTCAAATTAGACACAATCTGTGGTTCTTTTGTTGATATCTCTCCATATGCATACAATTGGGTGAATACATTAAGCAACTGACTCAGCATGAGCCAGCATTTTGGACATTGTAACTGCCCTTTGTCAAGACTTTTTAATAAGATGGTAATTTCACTGTAAGGTTGTGCAGCTGGCAAAGTACTGTACATTAGGGCAGGATAACCCAAAATTTGTTATCAGTTGTGAGAAAACCTCCATTGATTGTCAGCTGTGATACGATCTTTTCTAAGGCAAGTTGAAAATTTTCAAATTGCTAAATGAGCCAGGAGGCCCATCCTGCCTCCAGTAACAATTGACAATTAATTGGAAATCCTGTGGTACTACTAAGTGAAAAGAAGCAGAGTGAGAATGAGGTGTCTTGCCAAAGAACACAGCACAGTGACACCTGCCTGGGCTAAATATGAACATCTTGATCCAGTCCACTACTCTAACCACCAGGTCACAATTTTCTCTCTTAACCCTTCTCACCATAACAGAATAATATATATTCTCCACACTCTTCTCTTTACATTTGTTTCAGTTGTGACAATGAGAATTAGTTTAACAATCAAAGCTTCTTATATTATTGGCAATCTTTTCCTTTATTCTCATGATTGGGTAGTATTACTGTAGGGACAAATTAGTTACTAGTCACTCTAAGGTTTAAATGGTTAAGCCACAAAAGGTGTTGGTTAAGTCAAATCGTAGAGCTCTCTTTTAAAATATTCCAGGAGTAGTACATTAGCTGGGCAAAGAATACACTTTATTACATTCAAAGGCTGAGTACTCTACCAGAAATCTGCCCAAAAGTGTCCACTGTCTCCTTTTGGCTGACACCAACCTGAGAAGGTTCCGATTCTCAAGTTCATTTCTGGTACATGATCCTCCTTTTGAATCATATAATTTTAGGGACAGCTTGGCAACAGAGGTTCAGCCATCTCAATGGTTATGGAGCAAAGTATTATTCATACTTGTGGTCCAGAGCTGTAGCATCACGTATCTGGCATCAGTGCTTTGCCAATGATCCTTTTTCACGAGAAATGGGTGAAAGATATCGTCACACTATGCTGGCTTATGGAGGTGGAAGAGAACCAAATTTCCTTGTTGAGGACATGCTGGAGAAGAAATTTACCACTAGCGACCTGGTGCAGTCATTGCTGGATGATCTGAAATCCTCAAATCCATTTTTTCAATCTTAACTTTATGTGAAGTTTGAACTATTTTTGTCACAGCTTAGAGTTGCTATCAGTTGTAGCTATCAGACTAGGATGGCAAGGTTGTGATGGCCTGTGCTAAAACCTGGAAAACCAGAACATGCTGGAACATGCCAGAACATCCAACAATGTGCCAGAACATGCTGGAACATGCTGGAACAGCAGAACATGCTGGAACATGCCAGAACATCCAACAATGTGCCAGAACATGCTGGAACATGCTGGAACAGCAGAACATGCTGGAACATTGTGGAATTTCAAAAAAATAAGAATAAACATAAAAATTTGATAAAAATAGTTTTAAAAAACGTCAAAAACTTCAGTCTTTGATAATCTTTCTGTCTTTTGTTTTCTTTGTGACAATTGCCAGGCAGTGATAATTGCCTGACAGCTGGGCATGGTCTCAAATAGACTAAATGCCCTGCAGTCAGAAATTTTCCCAAAAGGTTCTTTCAAACTTCTTGAGAATATCAAATGTTTGTTTAAGAATGTCAAGCCATTCCAAAAATTAGTTTGCTGTTCTAGTGGATAAATGTTCTGAGCTTGTGCATACCGCAATATTGCATGGTTGTTGACACCCAGAATTCTACACTTCTGGTCAGACAGCCAGGCATGGTCTCAAATGGACTTAAGGTCCAGCAGTCAGAAATTTTTACTACCAAACCAGGTTTTAACTGCTATGTATGTCACATCTTTGTATCTTCGTAATAAACACTTGGAATTGTTACATGTGGTATTTGTGCATTTGTTTTGTTGAGCACCGTAAGCTAATCTATGTAGCCATCATTACATGATGTTACCCCGTGACTCTCTGGAAGTCACAGGTTCTTACAGGTTAACTGCCAGTCTTTATCAGGTGATTAGGTTGAATGATTAGGCATGGCTATCTGAAATGTAGTATATTGTTTGATTGTGAGAAATTCACTTAAACATTCAGTGATCATAATCAGGATAAACAATCATATCTTTGATTTACAACTTACTTTGTACTCAACCTACAAAATGCAACTGCCCTGGCCTTTTGACTCAAATCAATTTTATTCCAACTGCATTCCAAAAGAACTTAAAAATTATTATCTTGAATTGCTGTGTAACAGCTATTATTTGCATTTAGAAATCAACCACAACAATCTGACCACCTCATCCTTCTGTCCAGATCTAGAGCTTAGACCTCTTTTACAAATGGAGGGCCTGAATGCCTTTCTCCTATAATTTATTCATAAATACAAGCCTTTCTGGTCAGGACGAGCGTTAAAGAACAGTTCAATTTTCATTCAAAGGCTTAAGGAGGTTTATTTTTATGCACCTAAAAGGATAATAATCATGAACGCCAAATTAAAGGTCTATAAATGACATCACGTGACCCTGGTCTTAATTCTCCCAGGGGGTTTTTCCTCTTTTTGTTATTCTTTCCTACCCCATGAGTTGTATTGGGTAAGTTTGCATCGGAAAGACTGAGCTGTCTTTATTCCTGCTTTATCTTAATCTTAACATGAAAAAATTAGTTGGTTCTGATTGGTTACAATGAATGCGGTTTTTAAGGTAATTCAATGCAGAAGAGGGTTAATTCAGTGCAAAGAAGTAACAAACCAGACTGAATAATTCCTTGAACTGTTTAGCCGGACTTTGAACCTTTTTGCGCCTTAAAGATGTGAAAATATCATTGTATATTATTGTTTTGATCGTAAGCGGTTGTTTTGACCAAACGCACGGTTTGAATAATTATTTTTGCACTTGATACGCGCACTTTGCTTCTGCATCACTATAATAAGCTATCTCGTATTTTCCATGTATACTATTAATACGTAATCACAATTTTTCCCGTGCAATTTGGAATAAATAAGCACTTGTAAAGTCAGTCGTTGAAAATATTTACTCGTGCTTATTTATTCCAAATTGCACTCGAAATCATGTGATTACCTCTACTTATCAACTTACTTTTTATTGTTTCCATTCTTATTCTATAGTCGCGTTGTTGAAAAAAGCCTCTATTCTTAACTAACTTTGAGGGGAACTAAGAAAAGGTTATCTCGCCCTCTCTCCGCCCCTTCCCCGCCCACTATTTTCGATGGCACTTAACCGGTAAACCTCACTCCAGGTTGAACAGTAAAATTATTTGGAGCATTTTCGGCTATTTTCACCATACCAACGCGTGGAATATAGCTCCATTTTTAGTAATAACTAATAATTTTCTTTACACGATCACTGCACAAAATTGTTCCCTGCCTCTCCCATAGAAGTCTTTGTAATTAGTAATGTTATTTCCCGATCTGACAGCTATTGTCTTGTGTACGAATCAAATCTCATTATTCATCCTCAATGCTTGCTGGGGTGGTTGAACCATCGAATCACTCACGGTTATTTCTTCTACACACGTGCCCTTCTCCTCACCGAAGCTGCTATCATAAAGAACTCGCTCTCTGGTACAGCAGTTTGTTAGTGCAGTCATGGCCAGACCAAAGGTTTATTTCGATATTTCCATTGATGGAGCGCCAGCCGGACGTATTGTGTTTGAGGTTTGTGGAACAAACTAGGCGCTTGACTATGTGAGCGTTTAACACGCGACGACTAAATCCGACGATAATAGCGAAAGAGAAAATTGACAGGAAACCGGAAAAAGCATCGTTTGAAATATCTTAATCAGAATTCTGCGTCGAAAAAGCATGGAAACTTACTAATTGAAGAATCAATGCTCCTTATCTTTTGTCAACGTAAGGCAAGACGAATTATATATGCTGATGATAGGTTCAGCTGTTTTGCTCAACTCTTTAATCTATTGCTCCTCACGGACTGAGGAGTTGCCACAGCGAGATATATACATATATAGATCGATCTACGATATTTTAACTTATATATCCTCTAACACGAGTACAATTACTTTACATCTTTGCCTTGCAGCTTAGAGCCGATGTAGTTCCGAAGACTGCAGGTATGTTATTACAACAACTAGTTTGAACACCTTCAGGTAGAATTTTGTTCTTTCATTCTCGAGGGGCGCTTGAAATCCGAAGGAAGGCGCGAGATGAAGAGTTTGTTCAGTCGCAAACCAAGGACGTTCTGCAAATGATCTAAATCGCCAATTTAACACCTTTTCATGCAATAAATTGTTTAAAAAAACCGTGGAAAAATTTCCGCACAGCCCCATACTTAATTATGCATGCACATCTTACTGGTGATACACTGAATAATAAAGCCCCATATATGGATGTATAATGATGTATGGGGCTGTGCGGAAATTTTGCCCATGTGTTTACCAATCTGTTGATCGTTGAGGGTACCTTCGGTGAAGCACACCGTAAAATTGTTTTTGTATTGGCCACAGGACACGCTCACAAGTAATGACATCGCCTGAATATTTGAAATAGAGAGGAAATTTACGGTAATATCCAAAAGCATTTTATTATACACTTACTGAGAGAAGAAGAACCCTGATAACTTACAATAGGTGGTAGTGTTAATCTTTAACAATTGCTGGGATCTCCTGTTAGACTAACAAAGAAGTGGATTGTTAAAACTAACTAATCATCTCCATTTTTCAGAGAACTTCCGTGCTTTGTGTACTGGAGAGAAAGGGTTTGGGTTCAAGGAGAGTAAATTTCATCGTATTATTCCAGGCTTCATGTGCCAGGTTAGTTTTTCCTAGGGAAACAAATTTTTAATTTCTGTCTTTATTCAAGGGCTCAGCTTTGGCAATTTAGCTTAACCCTCTACACTCTAAGCATCAGTAAGCATATTCTCCATACTGTTCTGCACTCCTTTCCTAAGATGCTGAAAAGGAGATTTTATTTAACAATCAAGAGCTTCTTTGGTTGGTGATCATTTCCTTTACTCTCGTGACCTCAATATGTGATACAGGGGAGATGTTGTTAGGAGAAATTAGACCCCTAAGATCACTCCAAGGGGTCAAATAGTTTAACCCTTTAACTCCTAGGAGTGACCAAGACAGAATTTCTCCTCACAATATCAACACAATATCAAGCAGACAAGTGATGAGAATAAATAAAGATATTAATTAGGGAATTATTTGTTGATGCAATACCAAATTCTCAAAACTGACATCACAAGAACTATTTGGCAAACAGTAAGGAGAATTACTAAGGAGATCTTGGGAGTTAAAGGGTTAAAGATCTCATTCTGTCAAAAATTCCTGTGGAGTCTCCAAAAGCATCAAAACTCTGGCTCCATTTTCAAAGTGTATTCCTTTTTGTCATTTTGTCCTTAAATCTCCTAGGGTGGAGATTTCACCAAAGGAAATGGAACTGGGGGCAAGTCCATTTACGGTGAAAAATTTGCAGATGAAAATTTTTCGCTGAAACACACTGGTGAAGGTTAGTTATGGTGTTACCTTGTGAAGGTCATTTTTTTAATTTTAAAAGTTTATGTTTAATAAAGTTACTGCTTTTGTCATTACTTAAGTCAACCATCTCCAGCAATCATTCTTTAAGTGACCACTTCATTGAAACAACTACTTTGTAAATACTGTTTAATTCTTTTTCCCCTTTAATCTTCATTAGATTTATTTGTTGCAAGAATAGGGCAAAATGTAATTTCCATTGATACTTCATAAGCATTTGTATGGTATTAACCTGTGTATAATATGCACTGTATTTCTATAAAAATTACCATCAAAGTTGCAGTGTGTATTATGCACAGATTCTACTGTTTGTCAGGTGTGTTTTAATTTGCATACGTTAAAAACACAACCAAAAAAGTAACAAAAGCTTGGTAATAATTGGTCTTTATTAGCTTAAGTTTAATAATCTACCAGTGAAACATTTTCAATTTCGATCCATGAAAAGATTTAGTGGAGTATTTAGCAAACAGCTGACAAGATAAACATCATGATCACACGGTATTACTTTCATCACAAGCAATCAGAAATTCAGTATGGAAACAAAACTTACCATGGCTAAACGTTAAAGCTACACAGTGTCTGAAAAGCTCAGAATTAGCCAGTTTGCAGAGCAAAATGGAAACTGTGCTGCTGAATGAGAATTTGGAGTCTTGGAATGTTTAGTCAGGTTGTGGTGAAAAAGTAAAGAGAACTTGGAAAATATGCCTTGGCTCAAACAGGCAAACCATGGTAAGAAAGCTGCATGGCTTGAGTTGGAAATGAATATATTAGCCTGGATTACATTTTGCTGTGAAAACTTTTTTTTTCTGAAAAATTTGGTTAAAAACAAGGGTGTGTATTATACATGGGCGCATATTATACACAGGTAAATACTGTAAACAGGCGCTCATGACGAATAGCACATTCTTCAGTTGTCAGATGGAAAAAATGGATCTTTGAAATGTTTTATTTAAAAGGTGTTTGCCTCACAGCCAAATATGAGAATGCAAATGTTTAAGATACTATTTTACAGGAGGAATTTATTGGAGGAACACATAAAGAATATATATACATTTATTTTCAGGGAGCTTAAAAAACTTCCATGCTCTCTGAACGAGCTCTGAGTATGCTAACCAAACTTGCTCTCCTTTTTAACCCAATTTATTTATCCTTGAGGTTCAAACCTCGGCAAAGACAATTAAGTTAAGTTTCTTCATGGAATGCATGCACTAGGTCTGGTCATTTGAAGCACTGGCTTAAAACATTTCACAGAGTGATAATTAACAAAGAACATAATTAGTAATTAGTAACCATTGATTAGCCTTTCTCTAGATCTAGACAATTCAGAAAGCCACAAAATTCTATAACAAAAATTTTTCTTTCAAATCAACACTCTCAATCCCCATTGTATCAACAAGTGCTTTTCATTCAACTAATTTATTCTTGTTTTTTCACACAAGCCACAATTCCTCCAATTGCTCTGACAAAGGGCTACTGATCAAAACGTCAGCTTTTAAACTCTTTACAGTGGCCAATTTACATTATCAACTCAGTTGACAATACCAAATTACCCCGTTATATTCTCCCACCAATGCAGCACCATAGTTTCTCAGAAACTTACTCTTTTCATGCATAATTAATTGTTTGCCTGTGAAAAGCCTAATCTTTGTTGCATCCTTGACTAAGATCCAGATAACAGTTTTATTCATTCATTGTTAGTCTTACATTCTATGCTTTTTTTCTATAACTCGAACCCTGCCAAAAAACAGTTTTAAAGCAAGCTTGGAAAGAAATCCATGATAACTTTGGTTTTGCTTAACTTTGGTCTGTGATTGGTCCAGGAAACTTGCTGATCTCAACCTTAACTTCCATTGACTACTGTGATTACTGTGGTTTTGGCTTTTCAAAACTCAACCGAAAACTGCTCTGACTAGTTTGTTAATCAAATAATACCCCCAAGTTTACATTACATCCTTCTTCTCGTCACTGGTTCTATAATGCTACAATATTCTGGCACCAATCCCTGAGCATACAGTGGCGAAATCAGTTTTTTCAGGGATTACTTTCCAAACCCAAGTATTCTGCAATCTGTTGTTAATTTGTATTAAACAGTATAGTTTCTATTCACTCTTTCCTGTATACTTTTCTTTCTTTTAGGAATTCTATCCATGGCAAATGCTGGTCCAAACACAAATGGGTCTCAGTTCTTCATTTGCACGGCGAAAACCTCTCATTTGGATGGGAAGCATGTGGTGTTTGGAATGGTGGTGGAGGGAATGGATGTTGTAACGAAAATGGAGGGTGTTGGTTCCCGTTCAGGCAAAACTAGTAAGACAGTGGTCATCGCTAATTGTGGTCAGCTGTCATGAAAATTCTGCTCTTCATAGTAAAACTGTAAAACAGTAGTTTGTAAGAAATAAACTTTCATGCTCCTTTGCAGTTTGGGTTTGACTTGTTTGTTTATTATCATTGTTTAACCAGGCTGGCCTAGTTCAGCTGTAAGCTGGTCTAAATGGGGGCCACATTGTATTTTGCTATCCAGTATCAGATAGCCTGCAAAACAAGCATAAAATTTTTGCATTCACAGGCAAATGGAGACAATCATTAGGCCATCCCAAAGCACAAGTCATAAACGAGGGGAGGAAGGTGAAAGAATACCTTAAAAATAATTTTTTACACTCCTCCAATCACGCATGACTGGCACTTCGTGCTTGCCTCCATTCCACTGAAAAATGCCAAAAAATTATGCCCGTTCTACTGGCAAGTGTCAGAAGTAGGGTCAAGTAGTAATTGGATGGGCAGAAGGTGAGGAATGATGGCTATGTCACCTGAAGAAAAATTGTCCTGGTGTGATATGGTTGGACATGAATTAGGAAACTTGTAAGGGTGCATGCTTTGGTCAATAACAAACTTGAGGAATATTTATTAAAGTTATGGTGGAGTTAATTCATCAAAGAATTGGTGCTCAGAGTGAACAAATTCTGTGGGATAATTTGGTTTTATAAACTGAGTTGATAATTTTCCAAAGCTGACATTTTAAGCATTAGCCCTTGTTTAGAGTGAATTTTATTCATCATTCCCTCTGAAAAGGTTTAATGCCTGAAACATCAGCTTTGAAACTTTTCATGGTGGCCAATTTATATTATCAACTCAGTTAATAAAACCAGATTTTCTTGTTTTACTCTCTCACTAACACAGCACCACATTTTGTTCAGAAACTTACCCCCTCTTTCAAAGTAGCTCTTGCATGTGTACCATACCGATATTTTGACTATCAAGTAACACTGTTTCGAGTTAAATCACTTGGCCTCATTTTAAATTATTATTGAATCTGACATTCGCACTGTCCATCAAGAAAACATGATGAATGACAAAGCAAGCTTGCTGCCAAATTCTCCCAATGGTTATGGCTCCCAGTGACAAGCAGTTTGGGGAGTTGAAAATATTGAATTAAATGAATACTGAAACAACAGATCACTATGACTGTGAGACTCGGAGACTGCAAACCTGATTTTGATTGGTCGATGGATCTACCATAATCAGGTTCATGACCTTAGAGAAATTGAAAACCACATACTAGTCATATCTATTGTATGCAGTTTAGTTTCTTCCTTCTTGTTGGCTCTTTCCTTGGAGTAAAAAAACAAAGGTAAAGAGAAAGCAATCGGTCAGGATTATCCATACAGTGCTGTTGGCACAGTATGAGAGAAAATGCAGGGTTTCTTTTGGAGATATGTTGCAGTTGTTTGTTAGCATTATCACAAAATAATAAGAAGCAAAGCTGAAAAAGTGAAGATCCACTTAAATTGTCCTTCAGCTCTTTCGCTATAAATTGTGCAGTGATAAATATATTGAACTGTGAAGTCAGAATTAAAAAATAAAAAACTGGGAAAGTTGTGGCTTAGAGACACCCAAAAGTACATGTTATGTTCATTTTTTCTAATATTGGCCCCAGTGTAAACATTTCCATGTTATTGTGGGTCGGCTTGCTACCTTGTTATTCTCAGAGAAAGCTTTGCACTCTGATCTTATTTGTGATTCTCCTTTCCAGCTGCTAAACATTCCTTCTAAATAATGTCAGAAAATTTTGTTTTAAGTCAAGATACTGGAAACACCCTCCAGCTAATACATTTTTCTTTTTCATCAACTGTCGGCTGGAGAATACATTATTAGGAGTGGATACATTTGTATCACGTCCAAGAGTTATCGGGTTGGGAAACTGTCCTAATAGCTTGGGGAGCACCACCAATTGGGAGTGAGGTAGCCGTCCGGAACTGGAATCTTTTGATCTTTAATACATGTTTCCAAAAACACTTTAAGTCTCACCACAGGTCCACTCTGTGCCTTAGCTGTTACCTTCTCTATCTTGGGCACATATTCTAACACAAGTATATTCAGCAGTTTTCCAAATTGTTTCTTGTACTGCCTCATCAGAGCATGTCCTGCCACAGCCAGGAATTCATAGAGAGCTGTAGCAGTGTAATCAGGCCTTGGGTCTAGGTTCAGCATTCTTGCCAACCACGTCCAACCTTTTTCAAGTCCAAAAGGGTGTTGTTGGGATTGTCCTTGTGGAGGTAGAGATGAGATAACAGCTGCATATAGTCGCACAATGCCAGTCATGCGCTTTAGAAATTTGTCTTGTTCTTCAATCTCACCCTCAGAACACTGATAGCCAAGTGATGCAAAGTATTCTACATCTGTCAATTCAGCTGTCCTTGGTATGTAAAACGGCACTAGGAATGGACACTGGTCACAGAACTGCGCCAGAACGAGATCACCAATGTCAGGAAACCTGGACCAGATTCCCACAATAACAGCAGCAATAGGAAATGCAGAACTATGACTAGAAGAAACCTGCTGTGATCCTTGTTGCACAAGTTTCTTTGCAAGGAGATCTTTACAGAATGACTGCAATTGAAGTTCAAAGTATTACGAACAGCTAAAAGCATGAGCCAGTAACGATTTTTGAATTATTTTCAAAATATAAGAAATAAAATATTCTGCACAATCTGACTGATGGAGCAGTGAATTAAGCAATCATAATGAAGACAAAGAAATGGTATCAAAAGTCTTTTTCCACCTTAACTGTAGGTAAAAAAAAATCAAAATAACTGAAAAGTCATCCAAGTTTAGCTTTATAGGTATAAAAACTCAAGTACTACTTCCACTTGTATCATTAATCCTTCAACTTCCTTAGACTAGTAGCTAATTTCTCCTTTCAGTAACACTGTTGAATCAAACATTAGGACATGGGAGTACATGTAGAAGAAATTATCTAGAGGAGCTCTTACCTGTTAAACAAATTCTCCTTGCAGTACTATAGAGAATATGAACAGAGATCTTAGGATGAAAAGAGTTGGAAAAGATGATTTTACCTTAGCGGCAGGATGCTTGATAATTGAGATCTGTTTTCCTCCCATTTGTACAGCTTGCCCAGACAACAATTGAGCCAAGCGCTCAATCTTATCACGCAGGTGACGGGGTGACTGGTCAGATATAGCATTGATTGGTGTTGTGACAGCCTTGTGAAGGTCAAATTTATATTGCTTCAATGTCTTGTCAGTATTCAGTGGCTCTGCTTCTTTGACAATAGCACTTCTGTAATTTGCTAGTCTGGAAAACTCTTTCCATGCTGTTGCTGAAATACAGGAAGCAAGATCTTTTGATATCCCAGTCTTTGATTGATCGCTGGAGTTGGAAGTTGGTTTTGATGTGGAGGAGCTGACGGTTTGTTTTTCTTGTGAAGTTTTCAATGCTTGTTGTTTTTTTTCCTCTTCCTCTTTGGCTTTTGCCTCTTCCTTGATTTGTCGATCAGCTTCATCCTTAGCAGCCTTGGTATTTGCCTCATTAACAAGTTCTTTTGCTTTCTGTAACAAGTCAGGAATAAGAATTAAACATTTCTGCATAATCTCACCAATTCCTTCTGTCACTCGCTCATTTTCTTTTGCACTATTAAGATTGCTTAGGGACAACTTCAACACCTCCTTCGTCTCACTGAGGATGTCTGAAGCAGAGGTAGACAAATATGATTGAAATTTGCATTCTTTGAAAATTTGTTCTATATTTTGTGCAGTTTCTTTCACAGTTATGCATGAAGCCTCAAGCTGTTGTAGCCCTCTCTTGACTTGCTGTTCCTCTTTTAATAATCTTAACCTTAAATCTTCCATTTCTTTAACTTTTCTAACAACTCTCGCAGCCGACGCTTCGTGAGACTGTTTAAGTTCCTGTTGCCGTTGTTTGGCTTCTTCAGTTTTTCTCTCCTCGTCCCGCTGTAATGCCTGCACAGATTTGATCATTTCGTCCACCCTTTCGTGCTCTTTTTGTTGTAAATAACGATTTTTCTCCTCCCACAATCTCTTTGAATTTTCTGCCATCTTTTTTTTTCTTGTGGCTATCTCCTCTTCAGCTTGGCGTTTCTTTTCCATTCCGTAATTATAAACAGCGACATGTGTCCAATCGAAGCTTGCTTGAAGTTCTTTCTCCAGCAACTCCTCATGCATAGGTTCTTGTACATTTGAAGCACGTGTTTCTTTTTCCGAAACGCTTTCTGTGTCCGATCGATAGCTGCTAGAGGACATGCCATCGGTTTGGTTTGATTCCTCTATATCTTTTGATTCTGCTAATTCGCCACTGAAGATTACATTACCGTCTCTTTTGTTACTTGTACGTGTGGTCGATGATAGCGAAACAGGGGACAGCTTTAGTGACAAGGAAGGGGGCTTTGATAATTCCTCCAAGTTTTCCCTTGTCGGCTTCCAGTGAGGGTCATAAGTCAAACGACCCTTTGAACAGGATTTTAAACTTCTTTCTACGCTGCACAATGTCATGGTTGAACGATTAGGTGAGGGAGAAGGTTCTCTAACTCGCGGATAAAACGGCACTGAAGAAGCCGCCATTTTGGCACTCGCACGACCTGGTTACCTAGCTTTCCAAATATGGATAATCCAATGTTCCCTTCGATGTTCTGTTGATAGGGAAGCAGTTCCTGAGCGCTTTGTTTGTCTTACTCACTAGCCGCAGTGGTTTTTATTTAAAATATAAACTATAAAATATAGAATTGACCTTGCAATAATTTCTGTTTTTGTTTTTAAACTGTGAATACGCTAACGAAATCTTAATCAAACGTTTTTTGTTGTCTAATGGTTTTCTGTTGCTAAGACTTAACCGAATTGGATAGACTAACCAATCAAAACGGAGCAACCGGCGTCATCTGCAATTTAATGTGCGCTGTACATACCAAAGCATATCATCGTTGCAGAGATTGTAAAATTGTAAATAACACTGTCTTTAAATCGATTGCACGATGGAAGACTTCATCAGATGTATGTGCGTGAATCAGAGGTGACAGACCATCTACATTCGAACGGGTTCGCCTTCCAATATTCGTTGTTTGTTTCTTGTATCCGATCCCACTCGATGTCAACTAGAACTAGCTGAACTGAATACCACATAACCAATTTTAGAAATATGATGTCTTTTAAAGTTCGTTGGAAACTAGAAAGGAAATTTTTGTACATCTACATTTTACTTATTTGGAACCTTTCTTCAACATATGGCCAAGGCTATTTTCCGAAATTAGAGGATCTTGCAGTGCTAAAACCGATCACTTCTTCTTCAACTTGTGGAGCAACATCCAGTAAATATTGCCAGTCGTTGGCTAAACAGACGTCTTTGACGACTTGCGTTGAAAAGAACTGTGAATTTGCTTGTTGTACAAATTGTGGTTCAGCCAAGCCTGTTCCCACAGATTTAGCGCTTACTTCGAATAAAGTTGGAGTCACTCAAGATGGCGATCCGAGGAATGGAACTATTGTCAGATCATTTCGATTTCAAGGTAATTCATACCTACAACCTTTGAGGGTTCCATTTATAGACTTCCAGAACCCTGGGTTCACTATCAGCGTTTGGATTAAACAGAAGGCAGGAAACAAAGGGTAAGTTTATGTTACCATGTTAAGGTTACTTTCCAGCTGGGGGGCACATCAACGTTAACATCGATAAATTGTACTCCGTCGTAAATCCGTTTTTATCGGACTAGATGCAACTCTCTCCGATTAAGTTCGATTAACAAAAATAACATTTTCAGAGGTACATGAAATTAATTAGCTCAAAATAACTTCGAACAAGTCAATCAATTATATGTAATCGATCCTGGAAATTAATTGATATTTACATGATATCCAAGGTAAGTTATTTATAATAAGAGTTCGTTTGCGTTCTTGCCCTATGATTTTAAAACATTGTCAGATCAGAGAATGAGAAAGAAAAGTAATGTAATTGAGGGAATTGTACTTAGGGAGAGATAAGATTAAAAAAATTGACTCATCCTCTTCTCCGGTAGTATGCTCATAATCGATATATTGGATTTTCTGTCTTTAATTTCACCATGCACATTAGAGCTTCATTATTTCCTTTCTCTGGAGTGAACTTTGTCTGGTGGTTTTGCTGGTTTTGTCAAATTTAAATATGGCACAAAGTTATTCTTGGAAATTTGAGGGTTTGTTTTATTTTATTACATCCTCAAATACTTTACATCTTCCATAAGAGAGAGATTTCCAAAAGTTTGTTAGAACTGTTGAGATTATTGGAATGAACCCTGATGGGGTACCCTGTAAAATACTTGGGGTTTTCAAAGATCCTTGAAAGATCTTTGGTGATCCTTGAGTGTTAAAAGAAAAATCAGTTTTTATTTCATTGTCACATTCAAAATTTATTATCTTGTTTTAATTCTGTCTCACTGCAGTCA